TTTTTTTTTTTTTTTTTTTTTTTTTTTTTTTTAAATAATGATTATTCATTCCCCTTGCTGTGGTGTCTGTGTCTATGCCATGGGGTAAAGAACCCACCTATATCAATTCCACGTATCAGCTTCCCTGTGATTGGCAGTATGGCTCGTCTTGGTGTGTTGTGTAGTTTTCCTTGTTGTTAGCTAGAGCTTCTCTGAGTGATGTGGGGACCGTGAAAGTGGAGCTGAAGCTGGTCTGGAGCAGTTGGTGGACATCTGAGTGAGCTGACAGCCCAGAACGGGGCGAGATGTCTTTGGTTTCTTTCTTTGGCTCTGGGCTAATGTGGACATCTCAAAGGACGCACGAATATCTTTAGCTGTGTATTTGGTATTTCCTAATTTTAGAAACAAGGCTCTTGCAAACAGTTGTCAATTCAGTGATGCCTTATACCCTGACAGATGACACTGTACAAGGGTTAGTGTTGTTACCTTCTGCTTTTTGGATAAATTCAATGTAATACAGAGCTCCATCTGCATATAGTTTGGCTCCACAGGCTTGTCAGGCAGAGTTGAAGTAGGTGGGTTCAAAATCGCATCCACACACTCAGTGTGCATATACGTTGCAGTCAGTGAATGGGCCATGTGCTTTCCCTCAACATAAACGTTGAGCTGAAGGTRCCCTACCTGAAGCACCCTCATACAGCTGTCACTGAGCAGCCAGTTTAGTGAGTGAATAATGAAGCTTCAGATGATGTGCTCATCCTTGAGATTTGCACGGCTGGTACTGGTATTTGTCTCTTTAAGCTACCAGGATTTCTGCACTTACATAGAAGTTGGCATTTGTGTATGTTAAAAGTATACCCCTTTCAGCTGATGCTCTGTGCTGTACAAGTTAGTCAGGACTGCTGAGCTTTGCTTTAGCATTTTCCTGTTTGAGGAAACAGGAAAATGTTTCCTCATGTTGTCTCTCCTGTTGAGATAAGCCTGTTTGAGGCTTATCTCTTGCTGTTGACCAATGCTGCGGTTGATGATACTCAAGGGGAGCTCTCAAATGTTAATCCCAACAGGCCAGAGTTAGGGACACTGCTGAACTGCTTGTTTCTGGCTGTGCGGTGCCCAGAGGCAACTCGGATCACAAGGTGAAGTGTGTGTAACTGGTCTCAGTATCTGCTGGATATTAGCCCGTATTAGAAAACTTCATGCAGGTGGGCACCTCAAATATTCGGCTCATTTGGACACCCATTATTTTATTTTTAGGTCACAGCTTCCTGTTCTTAGCTCATCTCCCCTCTCTTCTATTTATTATTGCATCAAACTTGTTTGCTATATACTGAACTCGTTGTTGAATGCTGATGGGAAACATTCCATGTTCCCAAAGACTTTATATATATGAAAAGACAAATGGAAGATGAAGTGCTGGACAGCTGCTAGCCACAAATGAAAGCAGAGATGTTAGATGGCAGCGTTGTTGGGTGGTGGTGTGAAGGGTGCGCTCGAATTCCCTTGCAGTGCCACGAAACAGGTGGGAGCAGCAGCTGTTTCTGGGGAACTTTTAGAGAATTTTTAAACTCCCTTGCACAATGTATCTTTAAGGCCCTTCTGCTCTTGTTAATGCAACTTTTAGAATTAAATCTACCTGTTTAACATTATTGTTACTGTTCACACCAGCTTTCAGTGCTTCTCAACCCTTGAAGATCTTTATATGCCTCTGGATGTAGATATAGAGAACATGAAATACTTTTTCAGAAATCACAGGGCACAAGTACTACCTCGGGAAGAAAGTGTTAGGGAAAATATCTGGCAAATGCCTTCATGAAATAGAGGTCTTGAAAGAACTAATCTGGCAGGCCAGTTTGTGGAGGTGGCGGGTTGGAATTTCTGAAGAAGTACATTAGCTTGTGTGAATCCCTCATGCTTCCCTCCCAGTCCTCTTGCTCTTTCCTTGGTTACTCTGAGAAAGAGAGTTTTCCTTCTATAATTTAAAAGAATTTTATTTAAAAAGATATTTTTACCTGTCTCTTTCATAGCACCATGCTAAACACAGCTAAATACAATCTTTGCAAGAAGAGGGATAAATAGACTATATACTCGTATAGATATAGATGGGAAGTTTAAAGAAAAGGAGTTATGAGTTGCTCCTCTTGACTGACTGGGCATTGTAACCTGCGTTCAAGTCCGTAATTCTGAGCTTTGAGAACATTGTGGGGAAAGCTTGGAGAAGCTCAGTAAGGACAGCGAATAGTATGTGACTTCCCRAGTGTTGTGTGGGGAGAAGAGAGGCCTCATCACGAGAATCACAAACACCTTTTGTAAACAAGAGGTTCTTTATAAAGAGCATTTTAATCATAGCTGATCTGGTAGAGATGAGTTGTTGCTTTTCCATATACGTCAACATGTAGTCATAAAAGTTTACACTTACAGGTGGTACTTCCATTCGATAAACCTCAAAGGAATGCAGGTACCACTGCACTACAGCTGAGCTTCTATCAGCAACTTTAAGTGATCACAAGGCAAAATTAATTTGAAAAGAAAACAAGTATTTTGCCTGAGAATACTGTATTTTCTAAATGGAAGGTTTTTTACAAAAATAAATATGAGTGTGAGAGTTGAATAGTGCTTATTTTATTCCTTAATGAGTTGCAAGAAGGCCAGAAGGGAAGTCAGAGCTTCATAACTTCAGCAGAGGAAGTGCCCTTCATCCTGATCTTCTTAGCCAGAGACAGTGTGAGAGAGGTACCTTACAGCACTGTTTGAAAAAGGGAGTCTCCCAAGATAAGAGCTTTCTACAATATTTTTAGACAGCTCCATCTCCCTGGAAAGGAAAAAGCACATATGTAATTTAGCACTTGCTGTCCTGTAACTTTGAAAGGATGTTACTATTTTTTGGAGGTTTTGGGAACTGGGCAGATAAATCCCATAAATGTTTGGAAGGACCAAGACCATGCTTTCAGCATGTACCTGTAAGGTTTTTTGGTACTTAATCTACAGAGCATGGTCATAGTCCCATTTCAGGCTGTCAGCCTCAGATTTATCAATACACAAAATGATAAGAGAAACAGAACTGCTTACCCCACAGCATCCACAACATTTGCAGTCCCCGCAGATTGTTCCGAAGAGCCCATTCACCACCTGAATGCCACAGAGTATTACTTGGATCCCACTCATGATTAGCAGCAAGGAAAAGAGGGTCAAGTTCCAAGGGACTATATTTTCAGGTGATTTACACTTGTCCCACATTGTGTGGTTACTTAGATAATCCCTGTGCGTGAAGGGAAGAACAGAACAGTTAGGAAGGGAGCGCTGGTACCTTGCAGAGAAGCTGGCCTGCTGCGGCCTGTGAGTCAGCTCCGTGACGCTCTGACGCGACCGACATCTGTTATTGGAGTGCTGTGCAAAACAATTATACTGCGATCAATACTTAGTACGGTATTGGGTTTTTAGTTCCTAAATCAGAAGATAAAGCACAGAGAGAGGAGCAGAAATGATGTGTGGGGGTTTTAAATACAATCAAATACTTCCTGGTATTTTGTGGTAAGAAACTGTCAGATAAGATCATAGCCAGCCATTTGCCAAACCTACTGCATTTGTCCCTACTAGTGTCTTTTGTCTGAAGTAGCTTCCTGCTGATTAATGTCATTTTAGTTATGCTGTTGAGTGGAGCAGTGCTGACATCCAGTGGCAAGTTAACGCGTGCCTGGAAAGCGTACACGTGCTGGAGGGCTTCCTAGGGAATATGGAGTCTCCTATAGCTCCCCCATGGTGGAAACCCAGGGCTTTTATTTTTATAGTTACGTGTGTTAAAGCTGTGGTCTCCGTTGGGCATGCAGTTCAGCGCACCAAAATGTGACTGTGAACACAGTCGGGAAGCATCAACTTACATTTTTGTCTTCAATTTACTGTATTACATTGTAAGTAAAATAACAAAGGGCATAGCAAAACCATATGATAAGAGAACATAAACTTTTTTTTTTTTCTGACAAATCATGGAGTGCTACAAAATCAGTCATGTCTGGCYCAATGAGCAGAAGAGAATAACCTTTGCTGCTCTTGATGCCTCAAGTAAAGAACAGCAAACTGATGTAAACTATTCTTCCTAATTTTTATCTTCGTATTTTAATTTAGATGCTTAACCTCTGAGTATATTTCCTCTGGATTTTCTCCATGCTGCTTTGTTTTCTGTGTTTCTGGTGATTCCTTCACTGCAGCTAAACATTTTGGTAAAATAAAACATATCTTTACAGAGACTCAAAATTAGACTAAAGCAGTTGGTTTCCCACCTTCACTGGTCTCCAAACAAATAATGTGTAGCTTATGCAGCATACAATATTACACCTCTTGGCAACTGCGTCGTTAGCAGTGACTGTTTTTCACAGCACCTCTCAGCAAGTGGTGCGTATGTGTGAGCACAAGCCTTTTCAGCGTCAGAATAAAATGACATGTTACTTCTGTGAAGACAGTCAGATCTCAATATGGGATGTCACAGCTGGCCATTTTTCTCAAATTCAGCCCTGTATACTGCTTATAATTCTAAGAATAAACTGGAACTCTGTGCATTTCTTTCTGCTGGCTCCTTTGAAACCCAGTAATTTCAACTGGATGTGTTACTACTTGCACCCTTGTTCTTGAATCTTATTTAGTATTGCTGTGCATTGCTGGTTCTGCTAAGAGAGGCTGTGTTTGGGTGACAAGTACTATAAAATTCACATTTTTACACAAAAGGTTAATCATACTGCAAACTTAAAGTGTAGACCATTTTATTTTATTTTTCCCTAATTGTCTTTCCTTACCCGTTCTGGAAAGGATAGGCCCACTGTTGCCCAACATCACATTTAGGGCCTTTGTTTAGGGCTACTGCTGACAAAGCAAAGCAGTATCCAGCTCCTAGAACTCCAATTGCAGCAAATATTATGGAAGAAAACATCTGAGAGAGAGAAAAATAAAGTTAGTTTTGTTCTCATTCAGTTGGTGAAATGGGCACTATTAATGTGAATGCACATGCTATAAACTCCGCTTAGTCAACTCCTGAACATCTAAAAGCATTTATTATGTAAAGACAACTTAGGATATAATAAATGTCTGCACTGATATTTAGAGGCTTTGAGAGTACTAAAGGTACATGGAGCTGACGCTCTTATTTAGACAGTATTTAGTTAGCAAACCTCTTCTGTTGTTGAAAGTTCCCTGTTTCATTTAGAAGAGATRCTTTCTTTCACAAGAGATTTTAAGGAAAACTGAAATCCTGGAGCACTTGTGGTGTTTTAAAAAAAAAAAAAGTCAACACTGCCTTTAATGGTTGCTTTTGGCATTTTGGTCATAGTTGGACCTGTCAATTTTATTGTGCCTTCCTAAGTCCCCCTTTAAGTGTCTTTTTAGTATATCCTTCTCACCTGTACTTGTCCTCCTCAGCTAGAATTAATAGATGAGTGTTTTTGTTTTCCTGGCTTTCCATTAAATGTTTTTTGCATATGTAAATATATAATAAATCATGCAAAAACTATTGCCCTACTTGAATTTTGAAGCATTTAGTTTATGCATACCTGTTTTTAGGTAGAGTTAATGTTTTACATTAGATCAAAGTGATATATATATATATATATAAATATATATATAGGTGGGTAATAAAACCATGCCCACTATGAGGTCTGTGTGCTCTTATGTCGATCTCATGGCTAGGGCTGTTGCCTAGGTGTTGAAATGTGTTTTTTATAATTTTAGTCACGGGGTTAGCTTCAAGCTAATGTAGTGGACATTATCATATAACAATAATAATGGACATCATAAAAATGCAGTTCTTTCCCATGCTGGACTCAGGCGGCGGCATTAAAGAGGGATGTTGGGCACTCGCTTGTCCCATGGGCTGCCAGTGAGCTGGGCTGGCGCTGCCTGGCTCCTGGCGCGGGGGGCTTGGCGAGCGCCGCCCAGGCTGGGCAGGCTGCACCGGGGCGTCCTGCAAAGTGGGAGTGCCCGGCACCCCCGTGGGAACGGGGTCCAGCTGCACTGCAGGCTGCGAGGGGCAGCCTGGCAGCAGAACACGGACAGTTTTTGGTAGATGCTGGTGTCTGGTTCTCTAAGACAAACTAATCTAATCTAAGGTTACTCATAACAGAAATTGGGTAATAAAATGTTGTGAAGAGAAATATGTGGCTTCTAAATTTCAGATGGTTTTTGGCTGTCAGTCCATAGAAACTTGTTTTTCCTTATCTGCCTCCTAAATATATTTATAATTGCTTGCTTCTCCCTTGAAAGCTCCCCCCCCAGCACTCCCTCAACAAACATTCCAAAAAAAGGAAACGCTGCCCCTGCCTTTAGGGACTGTGGGAAGATAGTGTCATAGAGCAGGGGACCTGGGAAAGCCTCGTGGAGGGGTAGATAATCTCGCAGTCGTGATTCTTTTTCCATTAATTTTCTTTTGTTTTTAATTGAAAAACTGTTCCTTTGTATAAGACAAACTTCTGCCAAGAAGAATGCATCTCGGCTAAAGGAAAGACTTTCCTAATAGAGATAGATGYATTTATTATTTGTCTCACTTCTAAACAAAAATGTTTGAAAGGTTTACTAGTGTCTGAAGGTACCCATTTGAAACCTTCCACTCGTGTGAAAGGAGGCAATAGCATCAAATTCCAACATGCTCTGACCTCATATGTGACTGCTTTGAGCAGGACATTGTACTAGGTGATCCCTTCAAAACTGAAATTTTCCATGAACCTAATAAAATGCAGCCCGTTGCATGGATGTGCAATGAACTGGCAGTGTAAGAGAGCTTGTGCAACTGTCAAATTAATACTAAAACTGCTGACAAAAAAATGATCAAAGGGAGAACTATTATACTGGGCAAAACCAAGCGGAGGTTTTGTTTCGGTTTAATCCATGGTGAATACATTCTGCTAGCAAAATGCAAAGCTGCGCTAAGGTTAGAGCTCAGCGTCAGAGGAACAGCTCATTTTGACCCTGCTGTTTCTGCTTCCCAGGATTCGAACAAACCTGCCGGGCTTTGGGCCTCACTCCGGACAGCCTTTCCAGTCTCTCGATGACTGGGAACAAGATTTCTATGCCCTGATTAGTAACAATTTACTTCTTACTTTTCTTTCCTAAATTTCTTTCACTTACCGCAAACCTCTTTCCACAGCTCTCATTCCCACAGCAGCCACAGCAATCGTTATTCTTAAGGCCCAAAAATACCAAGGCAGGAAAGATCATCTACCAACAATAGAAATAAAGTTTGAATTGGGATGATTTCAGGTTACATTTGCTTTTAAATACAATTGTTCTATTTTTTTCCTTAGCGTTAAATTTCTTAGAGCAATTTTCTTAGCTTATAACTATCATTTTAATAGTTAACTATTGTTAGGTACCTTATAACTATTGTTGCAGTGCAGGCACTTATATTTGAAGTGAGAAAAAAGCAATAATGTAAAGTCTGGATTTGGATGGGGGAGAAAGTGAGAAGAACTGAATTTGCACACTCACCAATACACCAGATCCCACGATTCCTCCGAAGTACCAGACCTCGTCTGTGATGTGTTCATTATTGTCAACCACTTTTCCTCCAGGGAAAAACAGCAAAATGTTAGCCAGGGTACATAACACAGCTAGGGGGATAAGASTGATTCCTAAGCACTTAGCACACTCTCCAGTGCACATGGTTATTTAAATAAATTGCAAACACAAAAATAAAGACAAAATCAATCTGGGCTATAGCTGTGTTATAAAAAGGAGCTTCGCAGCTTATTTTACAAAATCCAGCTTCTGTGCCTGTAGAGCCCGTGGGCTGCAGCACCGTTTCCGAGGGGAGCGTTCTGTCGGTAATGTGCTGTCCTGCCTATTTATAAGCTCTCACTGCCGTGATGTCAGTTTTTCTGAACCTCCATAAATGCAATTGCGTTCCGTTCATTTTACCATGACAGGCAATAACCTCTGTTAATGTTCTACTAATGTGGATGAGGCACTTGGTATCTGAGTTCAGGTCTTGGGTAAATATCCCTTGTAGTTTTGGATCATCATTTTTGTAATACACTGTTGGTCTTCACACTTCAAAATGTTTTGCAGAGACTGAAACAAAAATATATAATAAATTGGCTTATGTTAATGACTGCTATATGCAGCGGAGAAGTTCTAGTGCATTATATTTGGGAAGATTAAGCTGATAATTTATTGCTTTAATAAATCTACTGATTTCCATTATATAGAGAGATTATTAAGGAATATATCAATATGTTATCACATTCATGGTTACGGAGGCAGTGCTTTGCATCTGATATGTCTGGAGAAAGTTCAGAAAAGTTTCAGTGGACACTGTCCTTGTGGTGTGTCATTTTGTGTTCCCAGGAAGCCCTGCATTTCATCTACACTAAAGCAAAATATGTCCTTAAAATTATGCTACATGTGGCAAGCAGACGTCAGGGTTGAAACAGAGCCTCATTGTCCTAACGTGCAGCGTTAGCTCAGGGTGCCCATACATAACAAGTTATAAGGTCATAGCCATGGTGCTTATGCACCTTATATGCCCATAATTATAACCCTGCAGATGCTGACATCGTACCTATTGTGGCAGCATTTCCCATTWGAGAGGCATAAAATGTCTGTAGGGTCACACATCACACTAGAGCCAGTCTGCAGATAATCTAATGCAACCCACTCTAAGCAGCATGAGGGCTTCTGTGCGGATGTGCTGAGCCTGCCATGGTCAGCGCAGCTCATGCCTCCCTTGCCCAGTCGTTGGCTCAGGTTGCAGACTGCATCTACGCAATGCAAGTGAATTGATAGATGACTCTTCTTGTTGCAGCATTTTTTTAAGTCAGCTCCCATACCTCCTGTTATGTTCCTGTAAATGTGTTTGTGAAAGCAGGAACCTTTCTGGGGAAAAAAAATAATAATAAAAAGAGTTACCAAGTGGATTTGAGACAGTGCGTACATGAAAGGAGCAGCTATCGCTGCTGCTTCCAGCAAGCATCTCTGCTGAAGCAGGCCCTGCAGCATGCTGACAGGCGCTGGATGCCTTCTCTTTCATATTCAGGCTTGGCAAACTGTGCTGCAGGCCTCATGCTGTGGTAACCTGCATGCCAGTCCTCGCACCTGGCGAGCGGTGATGAGTGCTGTTCTATGGGGGCTCCTGTGCGCACCGTGCAAATTCCAGCGAGCTGCTTCTGTTGAGTGTTGTTTCTCTCGGGGCAACGTTTCCTTGTCCTTTCTGGTCTGCCTGCTTTGTACCCTGACACTGCACCTCGGAGTGAAGGTCCTGGCTCAAAAGAAATCATCAGCATCTGTTGGTGACCTCCATGGTAGCTGACTGTCATCTGGACTATGGGATGAAGTCCAACCATAGCGATTCTGTGAAGACAGTACAGGGCCTTGCGTGGATCACTGCAGGGAATGAGAGATGAACGTTTCTCATTCATTTAGCTTTGGATGTTATGGCGACGGTGTGAGTAACGTAGCTTGGGGGCAACATGAGGAATTTTTCAGGTGAATTCTGTGAAAGGTTGTGTGTGGAACAGTGTTGAGGTGTGTAAAATCTGTCAATTGGAGCAGTTCAGCTCTCATTCAGCATTCTGCCTTTAACATGAGCCTGAATCAGAAAAGACACCTTTATGTTACTTACATATTAGAATGTTACGCTGCTTAAATATTACAACATTAAAGTTTTTTTTATTAGCTAGCTGATAAGTTAATTGTAGTATAATTATGTATTCACAGTCCAAACTCCTTTTACACGTCATTGGATGGCTCTGTAATTGAAGTATTAGGTAAACCAGCCGATGAAGAGATTAGTCTGATAAAAACACACATCCATAAATCTGAAAGTTTTTTGATTGAAAAACATTTAGAAAGAAGGAGACTAGAGTAGCAGTATATCACTTTTGGTGTTTTCCTGTTAGTCTATTTGATAGTAGCTTGGGAGCTTTGCACAGCACAGTGTAGTACTGTAGTAGCAACGACCGACAACTGTGGCAAACTAATAGCAAAGATACCGAGAAATGTTACAGTTCAATAAAAAAGAAATTATGAAAAAAATGTCCTAGGGAAACCCAACTTTCGTTCTACCCATTATGCCGCGATAGCCTCTGCTGTTCTTTCTTTTTTACTATGGCTTTGTAAGGAAGCTCTGTCATCTTAAGTGATATACAGTTAATACATCCTGCATTTGAATCCTGGATGGATGAAACACTGTAAGAATGTAAATGTAAAGTATGATGAATACTGAAAGAGGAGATCACAGTAGCACCTTCTGCACTCATCACTGGTCTCCCGGTAGTCTAAAATGGTAATAACATCAAAGGTTAAAACTCTAAACTACATTTTGAACAATCTATTTAACATTGTAAAATCCCCTTGCTAATGTGACCAGTTAGGAAGGTAGAGGAGTTTTTGTTGGTAGTCATTGGTCACATACCGCTGTCAACAAGTGCACACCTCTCTGCACTGGTTGTGATAAATCTCTCTCTTCCAGACTCTTCACTGCAGGTAACAGCGCTGTGCCCTTGGCTTGGCTATGGCATCTCAGCTCCAGTTCTTTTCCCGGAGGTCACCTGTGGTCTGTACTCAAGGCTGTGTTGCTTCGAGCCAGATGCTTGCTACAAATATTGGTCTTGGTAATCATAGTTTGATTTTGCTCAAATAGATGAAAGCAGCTTAACATGTACTTTAAATGCATTTATTCATTTTTAATTTTAGACCTCAGTGTCTTGGTCAGTTCTTGAATCAATGACTGAACTTTTTAGACAGTTATGACCCAAGGTGATGGGTCACGCTTTTGTGATTTTTATAGCTACTTCCCTATCTTAAATATAGTTCTTATATCTGGAGTTTCATATACTTTTTTGTTAGAAATTCTGATCATTCTTTCAGTTAAAATGGGGAAAAATTTACCATTAAGGTACTAGCAGCATTGGATTTCCAGTAGTCTAACTGAAGCCAAGCCTGGTGAAGTCTGTGCTCCTGCATGTAAATTTGTGTGTGTGTTTATATGGTCACCTATTGATCTTAAAAAAAAAAAAAAAATACAGAAGGAACTTCCTGCATAAAACAGCCCTGGAAGGTTATGTTGTTCAAGAGCACATATTAACGCTGTGTTATATTTGCTTTCGCGTTGTGTCATTCCAATGCAGAGCAGAGATGGACTGGTTGACTCTGGAACAAGTTCTATGTCTTTGGAGAAAGAACAGAAAATAGAAGGCTTAGAGATGTCTCCCCCCCCGCTCTGAGAGCAGAGTGATGATCAAGAGCATGCAGCCATGCAGTGGAGCAGACTCCATCCCTCCCTGCTCGCTGTCCAACCAGCCTTGGCTCTGATGTCTGTGGATGTGGACTGYGTGGGGGAACGTGCTAAGAGTGGGGCTCGGTGGGGCTGCGTGCCTGCCCAGGGCACAGCTGCCCGCACCCTTCACCTAGGAGAAAGTAATGCCCTCTTCTACTCACAGGCTTCCCCGTCCAGTCCTAGGGCTAGCTGCGTGCTGAGGCACACGAAAGCAGGCAGGAAAAATGTCCCAGGGAAAGCCAGGTTTGAGGGGTTCCCTTTCACAGGGCTTTCCCCTCACCCTGCCATCACACTATCCCGCTGCTCTCGAGGACAGGCTAATACCAAGCTCCCCTGGTATCTCCTGGGACCTTTGTTCTGCTCTTGACATTTCTGTTGAGATAAGAGCTTGTGACAAATGTAGCTTGGCACAGGTGGGGTTTTAGATTGCACATGAATATCATTGTGAATATAGCAAAGCAGAGCTTGCAAGTGAGGAGTATTTACTAAGAGCAGTGTGCATGGAGGCACACTTGAATCAAATGAAGCCTGGCTTTATTTCCTGTGCTGGCAGCTTTAAGTGATAGCAGAAGTCTGGATTTAGCTATGAATGATGAAAAAATGATACAGAACTTTATATACAAATTGGATTTAATGGTTTTGCTGTAAATCTGCTTTGTACTTTGTTAGAACCCTGCTGTTCTTTAATCATGTTATGTTACTTTCCATCTTACCAAAGAGGCATCTCCTCTCCATTGAGCTGCCCATTCATCAACTTCTCCCACAAATTAGCTTCTTTTCTATAGGGAACATCTGTAAAGACTCAGTTCCCTCAAGACTTACTTTAACAATGGGGTCGTTAGGTAACTGTCAACGTGTAACAGCTAGGCATGAGGCCACTAAGAAATCTCTGCCACTTCTCTGATTTCCATTACTTTAAGTAAGTATTGCCTCTTTTTTTTTTTACTGTTATATTTGTTTAGTCTTGTAAGATATATTGTTGAAGTTCTGTTGAAGAAAATATGTTTTCTTGCATATTGCTCAAAATCCTTTTCTTGTAAACCACAGTCCCTGAAAGAAAACAGAGCATCACATCTACTGTGGGCCAAATAAGTAGCACTGAAATACGGTTAATAATGAATATGGATGTCTAAATTCCCATTTCAGGTAACTTCCAAAATGTGAGGGGAAAAAAAGGAGAGAAGAGGGGAAAAAAAAAAAAAAAAAAGGAACTGCTTAATTTGGAGCTGTCTGTAAGTTATCTGTGTGTGTACATACGTTCTAGTTTTGCTTTGATTTTTGTCAAAACTCAATGATAAAAATAATCAGAATTTCTTTGATGTCGAGGACTGTCTGTAGTCACAAATTCCCCTTGTCACCTACAGTGCACAACTGTCTTGCATCTTCATTCATTTCGAGTATAATTTAGTTTTTCTTCTTGCTCTTGACATTATAGAATTAGATATTCAAGCAAGAAGTGGCCTATGAGAACCATGCCTTTTTCTTTAAGCTTGAGAAACAGATCAATTTGCCTCATGTTTCTAGTTTTATTCTTTACAGAATGAACTGGTTTTCCTGCCTTGCAGGGGAAGCTTAGTTGGATGCTATCTCTGCTATGGATTTTGTGTGAACTTCCTCTCCTTTTTTCCCATGCCTTGCAGTGCTCCCCTGGCCCATGCTGTTCTGAAGAACGCACCAATATGCGACGTGTTCCCATATGTATTCTACCCTTAAGCACGGTGGTTTTCATGCTTTGGTTTGCATGTAGTTTCTTTTTYTGGCAGTTATAAGTGACATTGGTACCTATTCTGCAAAGCCTTCAAAACTTGAGAATTTGAAATTACTGTTTGAGTGAATCCTTGGTTACACGTTGAAGTACACAGCACAAATTACCACCAGGTTCAGTAGGACCAGATTTTAATTTTTGTATTGTTGTTTCTGACTCTTTTTTTTTTTTTTTCCGTTTATCTTTACTTCTCTGTACATACCAAAATACGAGAATCTTAGTATCTTCCACAAGAACAAACATATTTCAAATAAGTTTTCACAGCTTCTCCCTCTGAACCTGAAAGTTCCTTCTTTCCACCTGGAAACATTCAAACCCTTATTACGTCCTGGCTGGAGAGGTGTCTCCTGGTGCCTTTCCAGGGGTCCTTCAGACCGCTTGGGTTCTGAAGGGGATCTCTGTTGCAGACACGCTAAGGAACGGTGGGAACGCAGCAGATGCTGCTGTGGCTGTGGCTGCCGCGCTCAACGTCACGGAGCCATGCAGCACCGGCTTGGGTGGAGATTGCTTCTGTCTTTACTACGATGCAAACACGAAGCGCGTGCATGGGCTGAACGGCAGGTAAGTGCCAAAGGGAAAGCCGGAGCACTCCCCTCATGTCAAACACCAGTGCATTTGAGAGGAAAGTGCTCCTTTGAATTCCTTCACTCGGGCTGTCTGGGAGAAGCTTGCAGCCTGAATGACTCCAAGTGCAAAACAGTAAATGCTGCAAGTTTAAGTGGAGTGGTTTTGCTTTTACTCTGGCCCAGAATACCTGCTTTTCAGATCTTTTTCTAGACTTGGTGAAGAGAGGAGGGGGAGGAGGTAAGAGAGAACTAGCTCTTCATTCCTGCCGCTTGCTGTGTGGCTGACAAACACCATTCCAGCAGGCTGGCTCTGGGCTCCTGTGGTAGGGAGGAGCTGTGTGGCTGGGTCAGCCATGAAGGGAGTCTGTCCCAGTTCCATCCCTGCTCCTGTTGGGCATCCTGTTTTTGTGCTGTCCTGCTGCTGCCCAGCGGCGCTGCTCAAAGGGTCTGACTGTGACTCTGCCACTGCGCCTTCACCCAGCCCATCCTTGTGCAGGGACAGGGCTGCCCTACGGACACAGTCGTGCTAAAACCCCTAACGTGGAAATGGCTCTTGTGGCTCAGAGAACAGTAACAAACCTGGGTTTGCAGGGGGACATTCCTATGGGGAAAAAGAAGAGCATGTTGACCTCTTACATTATTGATACCTGGATGTAGATGGATTCAGTTATAATCTCAGATCAGCTATCTGAAAAGAGGGCAGTTCTCCTTATGGATCAGAAACTAGATTGCAGAGGGAGGCAGATTGAAGAAAGATGGAAGCATTACCTTCTTTGGAACTAGAAATAGGTTATTCCTATTTACTTTGTGGATCAAATCTAGAGACTAGTATGTTTTTCAGTTTGTTCAAATTTAAGAATTGTCATGGATCTAATCTTCCATGCTGTATGTACTTAGAGGAGACTCTCTACAGCTTGTGATTGACAGTCAGACTATTAGTCTTTACTAAGTGGATTTTATTCATTTTGATGTGAGGCTTGGATTTTTAATGTCTCATATTTTTAATGCCTCAAAACAATAATATTTTGAGCTGGTTGGTTCATCTCCCATGCTGCTTTCACCAGAGATGTATTTGTTAAGAAAGGGGTTAGAGTCCATATTTACACCTCATTTCCTCTTTAGTTGTTTGTTTAACTTCCTTCTATTTGAATTCTGTTCAAATGAGATGTTTTCATGACCAAAGAGAGTATTTGCTTCCACCTTGAACTCATATGGAGAAGTTAAAAAGGAAGCAGCCAGTTGAATTTTTAGCTTGATAGGACCTTGAGGATCTGACAAGAATATTGGTCCAGGTGATCCCATTTTGTTAGTGGGGGATGAGGGAGGACAGCGACACTAAATATTCCAGCAGCGACATGAAGGTTCKGGATTTCACACATATGATAGAAATGAAGCCACTGGAAGCACCAACATGTGGCACTTAGACCAGTCTTTATGCTCTTTTGCCACATGACCAGCAGGCCGTTTTCTATCACGTTACATGTGTGCTTCTGTCTGCTTTGCAGTGGTAGATCTCCAAGGGCATTGACTCTTGAGCTCTTGAAAGAACAAGGATTTGATGAAGCAAATCCTCTTCCTCCACTTCATGCCCATAATATCACAGTACCTGGTGCAGCAGCTGCCTGGTGTGATGCTGTTTCTCTGTATGGAAGCAAAAAGGTGAAGCTAAATGAAGGTCCAGTGCACCCTCAAATTCTTATAGGTTCCAGTATAAACAGTTATGCTGCAAGTGTGATTGTGATGTTTTTAATAAAGCTAGGGTTTTACTAAGATGTAATAAAATATTAAGATATTTATTATAATGTACTGTTAACCTACAGAAGGACAGTATTAATGACAGGAACTTGAGTACAAATATTCACTCAGCTTTTGGCTATAGTTCATCCTTTAAAAAAATTACAAAATAGCTCAGGACTAAGATTAGGTGGGGAGAATTGAGCCTTGTGGCTTGATGCTGTCCTGAGTTCTTTTAATCACAGAAAAAAAGATGGTAGATTCCACATTTTTGCCTGCAAGCTTTGTGGTATATATTTAATTAGATTTTTAAATGGATGCTGTGGGGTTTAGTGCATGGTAGTGTTTCAGACATCAGGCTAGCAAGTTATTTAATGTAACTGACACTATTTTGTACTGCCACATGATTTTGATACCATTTGATAGTAGCAAGAAAGTCTGATGGCTGGTTTGAATGGTTGAGATGGAGCTTCCAATAGTGCTGTATCAGTATTGTCACCAAGAAGATAAGGCTGGACAAACAGCTTCCCTGAGCAGACGTAGGCTTGTTAATGTTGTTGTAAGTAGTTATTGCACAGGTAAAATAATAGTGAGGGTCTATAAAATTGTTCTGATTTATACCATTGAGGGCAGTGCTACAAGCATGTTTTTCAGGCAAAGTGCCATGTTAATGTATGCTGTTCCTGTGCTCCTGTGCTGGAAGTTTGGGTCTTTGAGAGTGTGGGCTTATTTTGTTATAACACAGAAACAAACAAAACCAGAAGTTATACAAGTACATCCATAGATCTGGTTGTGTACAAATCATAATTTTCCTCTGGATAAATGTGTTGTGCAAGTCAAACTCGCATAAATTTTGTAATATGCTACATATTGTACTGTGCAGTAATTCAAAAGTAATATTGCAATCCTTTCCTGATCTCCTGTAGCTCTCTCTGAGCCAGCTGCTACAGCCTGCTATTGAACTGGGCGAAAGAGGTTTTCCTGTGGCAGAGATTACCGCCTATCACTGGAAGCGTGATGCTCATATTCTGCAGTCGCTTGGAAATAAGCATGGGAGGGAGTTACTCATTGATGGCCAAGGACCACTGCATGGGCAGGTTTTCTCCAATCCCTTTTTGGCTAACACTTTTAAGGTAAGGAATGCATTTTTTGGGATACCCAAAACAATTGTGAGTTGTTTTGCTTTGTTCTTCTGAATAAGTAAAATATTTGTTTTTTAATTATACATAAAGGTTCTAGATATCCTTGCAGATACAGTTAGATATCCTATATGTATCCATGGTTCCCACTGACATCCGTGGAACCCTTGTTGCAGAGGGAACAAGATTGAGTTATTTCACTCCAGTCTTCCTTCACGCACGGTTAGACAGTGTGTGATTTATATGGGATTGTGCCCACCATGCCTTACACTGCTAATGGCTTGACCTTGTAGGCTTTGTCCTTCCTGATGTAATCATTAGGCTCTATAGGCTCTTATAGTGCTTGTCCTTGTGGGCAACGTGTGGCTACTTGTTTGTATTTTTATCTGCAGTGAAATTTACTCCTTAGTTAGTCCTGTAGCAAAGACCAGAATTTGAGTATATTTGCCTTTGTAGTTGTTCACAAATCGGATTAAAAAAATGAGACAAATCATGCAATGGTAAGTCTAACTTCACAACAGTTCATTAAGAATCTAAATGTTATACTGTGATGAATCACCTGAAAAATACAGTATAAAATCTTGGATGTGAGTGAATTGTATGCTTGCCCCTCTCCATGCAGAAGCAGCAGGTGCCATACACCCAAGGAGAAGGATATCCAAGTAAAAGAGGGTGAGGAAACCACCCCCCCMCACACACCACTTCTCCAAACGTTTTTGACCCATAGTTTTCCCTCTGTTGTTGCAACGGAGGAGTAGGGAAGTTCACCCAGTTCCTTTTGCCAGACCGTTCATGTGAAGGGCGTCCTCCTCCTACTCATCCTGCCTCCCCTTCCACTGGACGATCTTATGCTGGTGCCTGCAGCTCTTTGAGCTCGCGAGGTCAGCAGCAGTTCGGTTGCTCTGTAAATAGGCATCCAGATGGCTGAGTCATATGAACTATTTTGTACTACATAGTTTGTGGCTGGTAATTATTGATCTGTTGTTATCAAATTTTCCAGGCAAGGAGTTGAATTATATTGTTGGTAACTACATCCACATTAAATTCAAATAATCCTTTCCACTGAAAAGCTCTATATGCTCTATCTGTCCTCATGGCCTAGTTCTACTCATTATCACTACACAGTATCTGGGCAGGGCTCTGTTCCTGAATTTTTACCAAACAAAAGGATTACAGCTGTCCCGTCATGTCCCGTACTTGTTCTTTTGTTTGTTCTTTTATTGGTTGTTTTTTRTTTGTTTGTTTTTGTGTTTTCAAGCAAAGTTTATCCCAACTTGAAAAAGAATTACCTCTGATTTTCTCGTAGAAAACCTATCTGTTTTTTAGGTGCAGTATCCTCTCAGGAGCAGAGTTGGAATATATTAACTATTTGACAAATTTATCTTTTATTATCCTCTATACTTCAAAGCTTCTTTGTTTCATGAGATTTTAAATGTACTATTCTACTTTATCCATATAGTTACTGAAAACATTCAGGATATGTTTTTAAAATACTGGATTAGTTTTAGATTTCAGAAGTGAAAACAAATTTTAGACATATTCTGTACTAGATCTTTCTGTTGTAAAACAAACAAAAGATGAATATTGCTTTTTTTCAGGAACAAATTGAAATTGATGGAGCTTCATTTCTGTGCTGAAAGTTTGCAGAACTCCAGTTCACCACTTAACTTCAATTAAAGCTCTGTCATGAAGTCTAAAAAATGATGCAAAACTGTATTATTGAATCCCTGCAGCATGGGATATACAGGAAGTGAAGAGCAGCTGTATTTTTGTTACTGTGTTGCGGGAATGATAGAGACTGCATTTAATGAAAGGAGAAGTGGATTTACCGTAAATAGGTTAATTATTGGAGGTTTTGCAGCAGCCTATGTTAAATTAGTTTTAGTTCCATGGCAACTCCTTCTGCTTCCTGGCTAACTTAGTTTATATAAACGTAAGACTGAAGGGGGTGGGAGATAGAGTTTTTACTTAATAATATGTGGACATAAACTTCCATATAATGAATAGAAAAATATAGGCACTTAACCTTGTTGTGTTGGGAATGTAATGTCACAGGTTGCTGGAACCAAATGTCATCAAAAACAAAGAGCTAATTGGGGGTGAGAGCTTTTTGATGTGCCGGTTCATCCAGGATAGAAGCAGATACAGGATCTCAGCTGGAGTGCTGCAAGCGTGTGCATTGCGGTTTGCCGTCTTAGACATGTACTGTGAAATAACAGCTTCTTTTCCAGTGTGTCCAGAGCTAGGTAATGTATTAATGTATTCTGTGATCAAAATTTCCTTGCTCCTGTTTCTTCTTCGAGTTTTTAGTTTTGTTTCAAAAGCCATGGGAAGTACTCGAGCGTTGAAAGGCATACATCAGGTTTATTCACAAAACTGTAAAAATTGCCAACTCAAGTATGGACAAAAACATTTTATTTCAAAAAGTAAAGAAAAACTCTGATCTCCCCCCCCCCCCAAAATCAGAATATGGCATGTCATGGAATAATTAATGTCTCTAGACCTGCCTGGTTAGACGTGGTGTGGTGTGGTGTTTTTTTTTTTTTTTGTTTTGTTTTTTTTTTGTAAATGGTTAAAATGGTTTCAGGAAGGAGTTGACTCAGCTTGAGCTGATTAGTTATCGCTTGTGTTAATATTTAATGGTGCCAGGCTGTACCCTGTTACTTTGGGGACACTCCCGCAGTGTTTTGAGCGCTGAGGCGTCSCCTGGTCTTCGCCCGCGAGGGAATCCTGGCACTTTTAACCTTCTGTGTGGGCCCTCCAGGAGGGAAAGACAGGGAGAAGTGGGAAGGGAAAGCAGGAGGGGCTGCTGGTTCAACCCTGCAGTATCCTGAACTGGGAAAAAGACATGGCATATCCGTTTGGATGCAGCTCCACTAGGATTTCAGTTTCTGATGATTTGGTCAGCTCATTCATCTGTGGGTAGGGGATCCCCCCCCCCCCCCCCAATTAGAGATATATCTTGTCACTGTACAGCTGATGCCCAGCTGTAGAGGGAACAGAACTGTGTACAAAATGAGGGAAGGCAACACACTGTAATTTTCCTGATAGCAAGAGACACTGATAAAAGAAGTACTGAAGAAGGTACCTCGCTGGGGCTTGAAAAAACACAAGAATGGTTTATAGACTGTTACTCTTCCTGCCAGTCAGTTAAACTTCTTTAATTTCCTCCTTCTCCTCCATTTGCTCTGTTTTAATATTTTACTAAATAGAAAGGAAATTTTATTCCATGTGAAGGGGGATGTAATGGGCGCTTTCCTCTGCTCACCTGGGTTGCACGCAGTGGTGACGCTTGGGGTGCAGAGCTCAGGCTCTTTGCTGGGACTGAGGGTACCCCTCAATGGCTGCCTGATGCCCATTCAGCTTTGGCTGTGCCCAAAGCAGGAGGCACGATGCTGCCTTACCCACAGCAATGCTCTGCATCTGTGCATCTAATAAGCAAGGCCACAGGAATGCAAGGACCAGCATCAGGGAAGATGCATGTGGAGGACAGGACTGAATCTGCAGCTAAAACTTATCATTAGATCAGGTTAAATCAACTACTCAATTGTATCTTAAGACTGTGCAGCTAACTACTGATCCTCTCCATGCAGAAAGGGTAATCAGGAATCAGTAACATCAAAATGTTATGGCTAGCTATTTGCATTAAGACAGATTTTTCCAATCATATTCATTTATTCTGCAGTGTGAGCAGGAATAAAAATCCTTGAGCAGCCCTCTTCTGTTTTTCTTGTAATCATTAGCAAATCGCAGAGCAATTAAGGCCAACATAAGCTTTTTCCTTCATGGTTGCTGAAAGAGTGCAGGCAGGTGTACAGCTAGTTTCCTTGGAGGATGGCCTCCCAAAATGCTGCCAGGCCTTCCCTTCCCTGGGAAGGTGCAGACTCACGCAGCGGTTTATGTGAGTAGTATCTCAGCTTGCATTCCACAGTCAGATTTGCTCATGGTTAAAACAYATGTCATCAGTAGGTTTAGCAAAATTCATGCAAGGTATGGACAGGTAGTGGTATACTGCTCTGACAAATGGCAAGAGCCTGTTGTAGTAGGGTGTACTGCTTCACTTTTTTTAATGAAGAGGTGGGCTCTTTGTTTTACTTCTATTTAAGGTGTGTCTCTGCTCCTGTTTTTCATTTCTGGCTATTAGTATCCTGGGGTTGTATTGGAAGGCAAGAATGGATGTACATATTTGGCACTAAAGATTTAGTTTAATAGTTTTAATTCTGTGTTTGTGCTGCATTTTTGTTGATTTGTTGGTGGTTCATCATTGCAGATGATGAATCTGCACATCAGCTGGGAATACTTCATTGAAATGTAACCAGAGGTCATTTTATACTGTGTGTGTGTGCGTGTAGAATTTATTTGTGTATATATATAAATGTATATATAAATGCATTATATATGCTTTTTGTGTGTATATAACATACACACATTTATTTTACATATATATAAAGTATATATATAAATGTTTTTAAGAGTGAATGTGTTTCAGAGCCTTAGTAAGACTTATAACTTAGTTATCTCAGCATAAGTTATTTTACATCATCACCACCAAGCTGCGTTGTACTAGCACACTGGGCTGAGTTTCATGTACGTGACTGTTGGTTTGTTTTCAGACCTCTGTATGACCTTGTGCAAGTGTTTGACATTTACCCTCACACCTTTGTCTTTTTGAATAAAAGTATTGTTTATATTTGCAATCGAATGATCTATAATAACTCAGAAATCCCTAACACGCTACATGAAGTATTATGTCAATACAATGACTTCATTATACCTAGCTTCATCTTTCTATTCTTACGCTTTTACGGATTTGAGTGTGGGCCTCACTCAGTAAATGTCAACTATACCACTAAAACGTGTTAAGTCATTTTGTCTGTGTGTGTATATAGGATAAAATGGCCATTCCTCAAGTACTCAAGAGCAGGATTATATTTTTAGAAGTATGTTTGCATAGTTATTCCCTTTTTTGYTCACAATACAGTTACAGATGGAATGGGCTCTTCAAGTGCAGCAGACTTTCACTTTTTTGTCAAAACCCCCGTGTTCTGATAATGCTTTTCTTATTTGTGGCTTGTCTTCAAATAGAAGTCATTAACTTCTATTGATTCTATTGAAATGATTTTACCTTTAGTGTTTAATAAGCTATTTCACTTCATAAAATGCCACTTGTCAAACTGGTATAAACATTAAATCTCCCCACCTTTCTATGATGCAGGCTGCATTCCTGTTTTATAACTGGGCAGAATATAAGAGCAGTTCTTAGGAGTTCTAAAATTAATCACCTATAATTGCTATTTGGGCAATTGAAAAAGTGTCCTAAATTTCAAGGTGCTGAATATCCCAGTACTCTAATTGAATTGTTATGTGAACTACAGGAGAATTTAATTACAAATTGCAATTGGAGTATTTATGCATTCTTGGAAAAGAGTTGAACCAAACCAAAACATCTTCATCATAACCAAAACCAACACATTAAACTTGTCTTCTTTTGAGAGGAAATTGCCATTTCAATAGCATAGTGATTCCTTGCTTAGTTTATTGTCTAGGATTGCAATTGGAGTTCATACATCTCACTTACAAAACCTAAATCATAGAAATTATGTAACTTTTAAATGTCTTTATCACAGATTGTCCTGTAAAGTGACTCTTTTACTGAGAGTTAAAAAAAAAGATGACATTTTTATTCCCCTTTCAGGAGCTGGCAAGATATGGCAAGAGGGGGTTTTATGAAGGTCGGATTGCAGCTGCTATTGTAGAAACAGTTCAAAAACATGGAGGAGTGATGGATTTAGAAGATGTCAGAAACCATAGCACAGAGGAAATCAAACCAATTTTCACAAATTACAGGGTATGTGGACAATTCCTTCTCTATCACTGACTAAACTGGCATTTTTTTTGATTATTTGCACCCCACAGCTGTACAAAAGCCCTATACAACTTGGGCTGTAAAATGTATATATGTATGTGTAGATGTCATATGTGCATTAATAACTCATTTTGAAGCTTTAGCTGTCCTGATGACACTGTTCATCTTCTCTGACTCTTGCATTATGTTGGACATAGTATTTTACAGTTGTTTTTAGTTGAAGTGCTTTTACTTAATATGGAAGGAGAAGGTAGGTAATAGGATATGACAGTATTTATAGGTATAACCTCATAACAATTGCATATGGAAAATCAAAATTGTATTTTGGATTTCTGACTCATTAGATGCTCTAGCTTTGTCTAATTTTGCTATCTAATGTTGTTCATACTTGTTAAAACTCTTATAGTCCTGTTCTATGCTGAGCGTATTAGTGAAAAGATAGCTGGGTTGCAGAATGGATAAGAAGAGTGAAGGTTAATTTTCTTGCCAGGGAAGAAGTTACTACGTAGGTTGTCTCAGTAGGTAGGTCAGTGAACTCTGCACAGCCTTTTAGATGCAGTGTTATTTTAGCATGTCTCACTCCCCAAAGTAAGCATTCCTTCTGGTCCAAGAAGGAAAAGGTCATTAGTCATGAAGCGGCACACCCCTTGCCTCCTGAGCAATGGGTTATAAATATAGAAATGAGTAGATTTGCCCAGCGTGACTCACAGAGGCTGTTTGGAAATACTTGGCTGTGTACAGGTCCATGCCTGTAGCCTTTACTCAAGGAAACTTCTCAGTGACATCAATTGGAATTGTGTCCAAGCTAAGGAATATAGGACAGGCTCTTAGGACTAATGGGCTGCCTATCAGGTTAATTAACTTCCTGATTTTGAAGTAGGATAACCTGTGTACTGTGTAATACTGAAACCAAAACATCCAGATGCTTAGAACTGTATGAGATGCTTGTACATTTAACAAGATAATTTGGATTATCTCAGTGGTTAGAAGATGTTTATTTTAATATTCGGAAGGTGTGTGCTGAGAGTGCTCAGAAGGTTGTGGTGTTTGAAAACTTTCGATGCATTTTTTACATGGACTCTGCTGAACCAGTGCGTAGGGAAGAACCATACAATTGCTTTATTTCTCTGCCATGGTTTATGGCTAGATCTGTAAAAAGGCTTCAGATGTGACACTAACTTGCCTGAGCTGGGCACCACGGCTGCCCACAGTAGCCCAGCCATGGCAGGAGAAGGGGCTTGCAATGCACTGGGTTTGACAGCAGCCAGTAGCTGCTGAACTGTCTGTTGGAGTGATTTGTTGCTGGGGAGCAGGAGTAGGCAATATCTTGATTCCATCAAAGGGAAGGGAGGCAATTTACGAGACTATGGCAAATTGGGATTCAGAACTTTCTTTGTCTCAGATGCCTTTTAAAAGTGACACAAAGATCACTGCTTTTGGAGCACAGCACTAGAAGAAGTAGGGGTGTCCACTTCATCATTAGAATGTCTCTACATCATGAGAAAATTCACAGGCCTTTCTCGGTCTAAGAAAATTTAAATCCACATCTCTTGCTAATGGAGAAGCCCTTTCACAGTAGGGAGTGCACTAATCTTGCTGGGAGTGCCTTCTACAAGTGCCTTCTACAAGTGGTGCCACCACTATATCACTTCGGCAAAGAAGACACTCTGGGCTGTAGAGAAGGAATAGCTAGTCTGGGAAGCTGCATCCTCGTAATGAGCACTGGGATAACAGCTGTCTACCAAAAAGTTTAGGAAAATACACATTTTACAGGATTTACAGGCCATGTTACTTCCCCTGATGTCCACTTACGGGCAAGTACTCTTGTGGTGTAGGCTCTCTTCCTTTTCACAGGAGGCCTGCAGATTCACTGCTGAAGATCTTTTTGTGTTTTTATGTCTTTCACAAACCTCTCTTTGATTGGTACATTCTGCTGCAGGCAGATTTAGAGCTTTTCCATCTCTTCGGAATATGAGGCAAGAACAAAGGCCACAGCATGACACTGAAAGCACCAAATACTAAGATTCATAGAATCACAGAGTCATTATGACTGGAAAAAACCTTCAAGATCATTGAGTCCAGCTGTAAGCCCTTCCACACCATCCTGCTAAACCATATCCCTAAGTGCCTCATCTACCCTTCTCCAACACTGTCAGGGACAGTGACTCCACCACTTCCCTGGGCAGCCTGTTCCAATGCTTGACTGCTCTTTCCATGTAGAAATTCTTCCTAATGTCTAACCTGAACCTCTCCTGCTGCAAATTGAGGCCATTTCCTTTTGTTCTATCTGTAGTTATTCTGGAGAAGAGCTCGACTCCCGCCTCACTACAGCCTCCTTCCAGGTTGCTGTAGAGAGCGTAAGATCTCTCCTGAGTTTCCTCCTCTCCACGCTAAACAATCCTAGCTCCCTCAGCCGCTCCTTGTAAGCTCTGTGCTACAGCCCCTTCACCGGCTTCATTGTCCTCTTTTGCACACACACCAGCACCTCCATGTCCTTCTTGTAGTGAGGGGCCCAATGCTGAACACAGTGTTCGAGGTGCGGCCTCACCAGCACCGAGTCCAGGGGGACGATGCCTTCCCTGCTGCTGCTGGCTGCGCTGTTCCTGATTCCAGCCAGGAGGCCTTCTTGGCTACCTGCGCTCACTGCTGGCTCCTGTCCAGCCGCCTGTCGACCAGCACCCCCAGACACTTTTCTGCCACGCGGCTCTCTGGCCACTCGGCTCCAGGTACCGGGTTGCTGTGACCGCCCTACAGGACCCGGCCCATGGCCTCGTTGAACCTCATAGAATTGGCCCCAGTCCATGGATCCTGCCTGTACACACCCCTCCGCAGAGCCTTCCTACCCGCAAGCAGATCAGGTCTTCCTCCCAGAGTGGTGTCGTCTGCAGTTTTGCTGAGAGTGCCCTCAATGCCCTCACACAGATCGTTGATAAAGATGTTAAAGAGGACGGGCCCCAGCACTGATGCTGGGAACACTGCTTGTCACCGGTGCCATTTGGATTTAACCCCGTTCACCACCACTCTGTAGGCCTGGCCATCCAGCCAGTTTATCACCTAGTGAAGAGTCTGCCTGTCTAAGCCATGATCTGCCAGCTTGTGCAGGAGAAGGCGGGGGAGACTGTGCCAAAGCCTTAATGTATTACGAGAAATAGGTATCTGTAATTAATCTGCAATTGAAATTACTCTGGGTGAAGGCTCAAAAAACTTGTCCCATGTGGTGATAATATTAGTGTTATCACTGTAACACTGGCCTTTTGGCAGTGAGTTGCATTGCAGAATATGGTGCTAATTTATAATACCCGTATCTTATTCTAAAAGATGTAGAAGTAAGGAAAGGCAATGCCTTATTTGTTGGGATTTTTTGTCTTGTTTTGTTTTTTTTTTCTGTCCTGGAGAAATACATGCTTTCCCTGCTGTTTTTAATGTAAATTTTTAGTAATGTTATATTTTTAGTTGTTTAAAACTGGAAAAAAATGTTTTATCCCTTCTTTAGGGTGTGAATGTTTGGGAAATACCTCCTAATGGACAAGGAATCACAGCTTTGATGGCCTTAAACATTTTGGAAAATTTTGATGTTAAAGGTATGGCTTTTTGTCCAGTCCTGAATTTTGATACTTTGCCTTTGTTTTTCAAGTCTGACCATTTCTGAAAGCGAGATTCAGACACAGAATGAATCTGTAAAAATTCTCAGCAGTTTCCAGTTCTGAGGAAAATCTTTGTAAAAGCCTGTTCAGAAGACATGACTTTGATTTAAATAAAACTCTACATGAGTAGTTTTTTTAATATAATGCATAGTTAAATATGATTATTGGAGAGAGATATTTTTGATATGAAAGACTTTTCATTTTTATGTCAAAAATACTGTTTTTCAAATTGAAATATAACTTCCAAAGAAAATCTCTAGTATGATTTAACTTATTTTTGTGAACAGTCTTATATAAACCACCTTTTTCTAAACAACTTTCTCAAAACTCTTAGTTGTTAACTACTGTGTGATAAATGCTCTGAACAATACAACTGAATCAATAAATATTTTGAATAATGCCTGGATACCCTGTGCTCTTTATGCAAAAATGCTGGAGATTCTAAAAGATGTATGGTAAGTCTAATGCAGTTGTCTTAGTGGTGGTGGGTTTTTTTTCTCTCTTTTCAGGCATGGGTCATAACACAGCAGACTACTTGCATATGCTTATTGAGGCCATGAAGCTCAGCTTCACTGATGCTTTCTCATTCTGTGCAGACTCTGATAAAGTTCTGGTACCTACAAAAGAACTTCTGTCCAAAACCTATGCTAAACAGCGTTCTCGACTAATAAATTTACAAAGGTATTTTTCTTTCCTTGCTTGCATTCAACGATTAGGCATACAGTTGTACTCTGTAATTTTAGGAGGAGCTCAATGACTGGAGATCTTCATTTATTTCTTTACATGTTATGGTCTTTCACCTTCCTACAGAATTATTTAGTTTAAAATATGTCTGCACTGTGTTTTTACTTGCAAAAACCTTATCTCAAAGATGAAAGGCTGTAGAAGAAAGTGAGCAAATAACAGTTGATATATCTTAGTAAAAACTTTTTAGAAACAATTGGTCTGTACATTTTAAAAACTGTGCCAGTGTCTTAAAAGTAATTTTAAACAAAATATTTTAAAATATTCCATTTCAAAAATAACTCCATAATGACTCTTGATATATTTCTTCTGCACAAGACTAAAAATTTTATAGGAATCATCAGGAAACACAAAAGAGAGAGGGAAAGAAATTGCCTCCAACTTTTGATCTCAATCCGTGTGATCACAAAACTGTGTGGAAGCTACAGCAAAACCAAGATGTATTGAAATTTCCTATGTCTGTAGGTGCCTGTGCCTCTTTTCACTAATTAATGCCTTTAGTCGTGGCTTGTGTGAGAGCAGCAGATATACACTGTGCCAGCAGAGCCCTCCCTCCAGCAGAGGGGAGGCCCTGTCGGCTCTCCACAACGGCAGCAGCATCCTGCAGAGCTCTGTGCTCTCCCCAGCAAATGTTGGAGTCACAGAATGGCCCAGGTTGGAAGGGTCCTCCCTTCATGAACACCCCAAATTTCCGTCTCCAGTTGAGAATTGTGTGGCAGAAAATGCACATGTGGAAGTGTGCGGCAAGGGAAGTGCCTTCATCCTGGTGAATGTGTGGAGTGCGAAGCAGGGAGTGCACCCAAGAGCAGGTGAACACTGCAGCAAAGCCCACTAAACGCAGACTGCACCTCATTGTGCCTCCCTCTCAGCCAGGCTTTAACAACGTTCATTATATTCAGTGTTTTGTTTCATCGAGGGACAGAAATGAAATGTTAGACTAATGAGGTTTGCAGGCATGGCAAACTCAGTAGGGTTCATGCTTAGGAATGTCTCGGGGTGGTAAAAGTAATTTTAAAATATTTTGTACTATCATTTTCTGTACTGAAGGAAAATGACAGAAGTCCAAAGAGCACAGTGATTACTCATGCACATGTAGAAATTCCCATATGTGTGTAAGTACCAGTGTGTGTTAGTCTGCTTTTGTTTATTTTAGATAAGCATGTTTACTTTAATTTATTGGCAGGGTTGTGTTTGAACTTAACTAAATATTAGTTATAAAGTAGAACTGTTGTATTGATATAGGCCTTACGTGGCTATAAATGGACTTTGGATCCATCCAATGCTTTATCTTTCATATGATAACATCTGTCATTTCAAAGTCTCCACCTGAAACCTGCTATATCATTTAGTTCAGAATATCATTTAGTTTATTGTTTGGGATTAACTCTCCTTAAACTTTCCCCAGTTTTGTACTAGCGTAAGTAGTTTAGACTAATTCAGCTCTTCATTAAAGCAATTTTGGATTAAGATCACATTCTTGTCATTTGTTTGCATGAGTATACCCTGTGTTTCCAGCAGGGTGATTCAGAAGATGGGGGGATGTGTGTTGTAGAAGTGCGGTGGTTTATTTTTAACTGAGTTTCATTTTCAGTGTGTGCTGATGTTAGCATTTTCTGTGTTGCAGAGCCAGTGACAAATTCAGTTCTGAAAATATTTTGCAGTTAGGAACGGATACAGTGTACTTCAGCGTGGTGGATCCTCAAGGCAATGCCTGTTCTTTCATCAATAGCAACTACATGGGCTTTGGTACAGGCCTGGTACCAGAGGGCTGTGGATTTCCCCTRCAAGTGAGAAGATACTTCCCACTATAGCATGTTCTAGTATATGTGAAGACAATTTGGCAATATAATCAGAAAGTCCAAGCTGTACTCTTGAGGATAGGATAGTTAGTTTTCAGATTTTCTTTATATATAGTCCCTGTTCTTGTTAAAGTCTGACTAGCTAATGAATTTTGAAGAAAGTGGAAATGTGTGATGTTTCTTGGATTACTGGTCTATAAACTCTGTGCCAGTTAAACAGTCAAGTGGGAATGGGATTTGTTCTTTGCTACATGCTTTTCTTAATGGGGAAATTCTTGTCCTCGTTCAGTGTCTGTGTTCGTATCTCTGGAGATATTCCTCTAGATATTATTAGATACTTCCTCTCATTTCCTCTTCCTTTTGATCCACTTTTACAAAGATAGAGGGCTGGCCTGAGAACTGAGCAGAGCAGTTTGCTAGGTTCTCTTTTTATCAAACATAGTTAAAAATAGGATATATTTTTTAAAATATGAGACTGCTCCCAACCACTCGCTGTCAGAGATCTATAGCAATGAAGGTTTGGCCTAGACAGCAAGTTCTCAATCTTCATTCTTGGAGAAAAAATAATCTAAATTTTTATTGCCTTGGCAGCATTCATTCAGAGTGCTGAAATAACAAGACTGAGTTGCTAATGATAAACTCTAATAGCATCTTACGTGTTAAATTTAAAAAATATATGTTACTTAGTGATATGTTGTTAAAACACTTTTGCCTCAGTGTAATTTTTATAAGCTATAAGAATTAATCTGCCTTAATCTTCTTGCGAAGAAAGTGACTTCCTGCAAAAAGGAAGATGGCAGTGTGTTTTTCTTTATGTTTCTGTAGTAGCTCATTAATTCCTATTGGTAAATATAAAAGTCTTATCTTGCAGGCCATACAGGCGCACTTATTTCCTGTTGTATTTCTGTACAGGTTGAATGAAAATGTGTAATGTATAAACCTTTTGTATGTACTAATGAAAAAATGAGACACCTTCTGTTCTTAGGAAATCTAACACTGTTTAAAGCTCATCTGCTTTTTCTAACTCTTCTTGTAGAGTTACATAGTATAAATTATGCTTTAAAGAACAAAGCAGTTAAACACACTTTCCCCCATTGAGTGTTTTGCAAGCTGCCCTCAGTCCGGCGCCCTTTCCAGTGCCCTCGGGGACACCATGTGCCATCTCCAATGTCGTCATCACAGGCCAGCTAATCAGAACATTCTTGGGGACTGCCCTGCACAACTGCTCTAAACTGTATTCTTTCGTACTGATAGATATTTAGCAGTCTCATCGGTCTTGTTATATAAGGTGTATAATATATATTTTTGTTTGTTTATTTTTCCAGAATAGGGGAGCTAACTTTTCCCTCTCTAGCAGCCATCCAAACTGCCTTGCACCACAGAAACGTCCATATCACACTATAATTCCCGCCCTAGTGACGGCTGCAGACAGTGAGGAACTTCTGTGCTCCTTCGGAGTGATGGGAGGGTTCATGCAACCCCAAGGACATGTACAGGTAAAACCTGATTTTTGTCCATTGCTATGGAGAGTCAATTATTGCAGAACCCTGGGGGTAAGTTGTAGAAAGCTCCTACACACTCRCACAGAGTCCTCGTACCTTGATCTTTGTGTATGGTTCCTTGATAAGTTGACATGTATTTGCTAGTGCATTTACTTATTTTATATTGTTAAAAAAAGAGATGCTGAAACCTGTAATTGGTAAATATAAAATAGCAGTTGCAGAAAATTTGTGGAAGCAAACTGCATGTCCATAGCTTTGGCTTTCCCAGGAAAGCTGCCTGAAGAATTGGATTGCTTTATCAGAGAATACAATATGTAGACTCAAACCATTTCTGTTATTGTTTTTGTACTCTCCTTAGGTGCAGTCATCTCTCTTCAATTTAATGTGTCTATTGATAGTTCCTCCTGGTAGAAGGTGGGAGATAGCATAAATAGTTATGCTCACAAATAGTTAAAAATATAAGGGCAAAGCAGATACGGTGAAGAGCCTGATTAAATTTAGTCTGCTCTGTAGTTACTCACTGCAGTATTCCTGTTCCTGGTTCCTTCCCTTTGTGGTGTTTTGAGGGAGGGATTGCAGGAAAATCCTTTTTCTTCTATAGTTCTTGTGTCTTAGATGAGCGTTGACTTTCTTGCAGAGTGGAAAGGGCATAGAGAATTAAGAACAGGACAATATAGGACATAGGAACAAATTTTGCTTCTTCAGCTTCTGTTTTTGACAAGCCCTTGACTTTGTAAACATTAGGGTTTCTGCGTTAAACTTCCACAAGACAGAAAATCTGGCCTCTAAAGTTGAATTTAAAAGTTTCTACAAAGAGAGCTTGTTTGCAAATTTGGGATCTTCTTCTAAAGTATTAAAAATATTTCATGAGATTAATTATACATATCCTACGTTATTGCAGAGCTGTACTTATTCTTTTTAAAGGTACTACTAAATATGTTGGAGTTTGGGATGAATCCTCAGCAAGCTTTGGATGCAGCCCGGTTTTGTTTGAACTACTCCAAGGAAGGTATTAATTAATTTGTTGTTTACAGAGTAAATTGTTAAGCTAGGGGTTCCCAATCATGGTACAGATACAGTGACAGGGATTATTGTGAGCACTATGCGACCAGCAATTCTCAGCAGCATATTTATATGTCATGTCATGGTGGTTCTGTACCCAAGGATTTGTCTGCTATTGTCAGAGTTGCTGGTAAAAGTAAAGGAGCATTTGGCACACTGGAACATAATCTGGAAAAAAAAAATTGAAATGAGTTGGAATGACAATCTTGTGATAGTCTTTTTATTGCGCATAATTCATGTGCTGGATTAATCAGCAGCCCCATTATGAATTCTGCATGTAGAGAGCTCTATAATGTCTTTGTAAGTGCGTTGGTTCCCTGGAACACGTTCTAATTTTTTCTTCAGCCCATTGTGTGTACCTGAGCAGACCTCAGATAGCAGAGTATTTGACCTGTGACTTCACAGTACAACAGAATATAACCGATAACATCTTGGGAGTTGCTGGGGTGTCCTAGCAATCCCTGACACACAAATGTTATTGTTGGCGTGTCTGAAGTTTTCTCAGAGATGGAGCTCAGCTAATAGGGCTGTCCTGTTTACCATATGGTAGCCCCCTTTGTGGTAGATCTGCCTTTCAGAACTAGTATCTGAACCAAAATCTACTCCCCTTGAAGCATTTATGATTTGATTCACTGAGTGGGGGTGATTCTTTAGTTCAGTTCCTATTAATCCAGAATGTTTTGCTCTTGACTTTGTTACTTTGCACTTTCTTCTTATGCAGAAGGCAGGTGGCATCTGTCACTTGAAGATGGTATCTCGCAAGCTGTTGCAGAAGACTTGAGAGCCAGAGGTCACTGGAGCCAGTGGCCCATCAGTGGGCACCACAGGAGCCTCTTTGGCCGTGGCCAGGTTATCACTAAGGGGGACTGGTGGCAGTCTGGGGGCTCCTTGTCCTCCAGGCACTTGCAGAATGTCCTGTGGGCAGGATCTGACCCCCGCGGAGATGGCTGTGCAGTGGGGTACTAGTCTGGAATGAACATGTGTGCAGTGCTGCGGCATTAATTTGCACGTGTAGCCACACTACTGACATGGACACTTACTTGCAATTATAGTTCAAAGAAATACAAAAGTTATTCTACTTCAGGAACAACCAGGTTGCTTCCACCTTTCAAACCCAAGTGTGGCACCAAATGTGTGAGTTAGAAGAATCCAGTACGCACACTACTACTGTGTGTAGTGCACATACCGCCTGGCAGATAGGTGCTGTGTGTATCCATACATCATGCAATTTGGGATGTATTTTTCCAATATGTTCCTGTTAAGAAAATAAATAAGAATGAGTATTTAAATGTTCATTTTCTGTTGCTTTTCTCTGTTAAATGTTGCTCGGATTAAAAAGCATGTTTTGTATTGTGATTTCTTGTGGTAGTTTTTTTTATTATTGTTGTTTTTTATTAATATTATGTTATTACATTCATACAGCATTTCTGATGTGCCTGTCAGAGGAACATCACAGTGAAAGTTCTGGCTGTGTGACTGACAGCCGTTTTAAGGACAAAATTTCAATAAAAATGTAGTGCGCTGATTGTATGTGGTTAAACAAACTTTAGGTTTGTGATTTAATGCTTAATGGAAGGGTGAGAGTACAGAGTAAGAAATAATCTTTCAAGGGACTTGTATATATGTCTGATTYGTTCTTCTCTTTGCAGTGAGCGCTGTGCAATTAGTACTGATGCTGAAAGATCTGCAAGCAAATGGTGTGCAATTTTAAACACTAAACTTGACATTTTACTGCTGTTAACCAAGCGGTAGTTGTGGGATTATTCAGCAAGAATAATCTTAAAAGTTTTGTAGCTAGCATTGGTGTACTAATGGCTAATTGTAAAGGTAAGAGTGCCTGAACGGTGCACAGAGCATGTGCTAATGAAACAAAACAGGCAAGTGTACTGTTTGCTTACTTGTTAGTGTGAGGTGGAGTTTTCATTCTATTTTGTGTGTGTGTGTGGTTTTTTTTTTTTTTTTTTTTTTCCTCTAGATACGAAGTCTTTGATATGCTGTGTCTTTACTAGATTAGAGGCAGATTTAAGAGGCTTAATGACTGACTGCTGCAACACAAGAGCCAGAGTCTTACCCTGGAGCAAAAAATACCATTGTTAGTTGACATGTCAGAACTGTATGTCTTTACTGGATATTTTCTTTAAATATATGGCTGCATTGGGRACGACACAAAGGTGGCACTTTAATGGTTCTTAAATGTAGAAAGAGTCTGTGCATCGTGCTGCTCTGTGCAAAGATCTGTATGCCAAGATAATTTCCATTTTCTGATTCAGACTGCTCCTGCACACAGCAGAGCGCAGGGTCTGTTTATAGTGCAGTGATGGGAGTGCTATACTTGTGTGTCTTTTCCAATAACATCAGAAGTTTAGGGAGATAATACAAATACAGAGCGTAAGTCTGTGTAAATACTCCAGTCAAGGAGAAAAAAGCTTCAGTTGGTTGTTTTGCATAGTCAAGATTTCACTCACAGGCTGTGTCAGAAATAGGAATGGGATATTTTTCTCCAGTGTCCTACTTTTATCATATTAAAATTATTGCAAGAGTAATAAATGGGCTATGTCRTATATTTTTATATGCCCTTAAAAAGAAGTTCTTGCAGTATGTGATTCTGTGACTGAGGTTACAGTAGTGCTGCAAGTTCCAGGGCAATAATAGTTACCCTTAAATTAGGGTTATGGGYTCTTCTGTAGAGAGAAGAACTTCTATAGACTCATTTATTTGCGTCCTTGCCCTTGATTGTAAGCCTTTGAGTATCCAAGCTGGTTGGTTTAGTATAAAAATTACTTTTGTTGCATCATTCCTTACTGCTCATTGGGTCAGCATTATTCCTAATAAATTAAAATTTCCCTGTATGTATTTGTGTGGCAGTTCTGTGTAGAGCTGCAAGCTACACTACATGCGCTGCTGCTTGTAGACTCCTGGCTGTGAGAGCAGGCAGGCTCTGTGCCCACCTCCATGCTGTGTCTGCAGAGGGAGTGATTGTTTTCATCCTTAGGGATCTGTCTCCCTGACAGATGCAACATGGTTGCATCCTCAAAAGTGGATAATTAAGTTCATCCCAGGAATGGTCATGTAATTAACTTTCTTCTGGCTTTGGACAGGAGTCCACAGGCATATAACACTTAAAGGGAGCAGTTTCCTACTATGACTGTCTAAGTATAACACTTAAAGGGAGCAGTTTCCTACTATGACTGTCTAAGTGGGGTTTGCTTAGTGATGTGCACGTATCGGGTGGAGTGACTGAGGACATTACAAATGCTGTAATCCTGCAGCATTATGTCTGTGTGTATTGTGACTGGAAAACATGACCAGTGAATCACTGGGACACTAAGAAGTGGATGGGAGGCATGGATGGGTGTTTTGATTAAAAAGAACTTGTGGGTGGGTTTCGGTTCCTAAGGTCATGGGGAGCCCTGTTCTAACAACTGGCCAAGCTGCTTCCCTTAACTCACAGGTGACTACGTATTCATCAGACCTTCTCAGCAGGTGTCTGAACTAGGATTTGCCCATATAAGCTGCAGCTTAACCAAACAGTAACAGAAAAAGAAATGAGAATGGCTTATGAGGAGACACAATTGTGGAATCATGACCTGTGTTGATATGCACACGTTGTATTACTCTTTTTTCCAAATTCATCTGTGCAGCACATGCTTTTATTTTCCAGACATTGAAAACCTGACCTGGTTGAGCTGACCCTGCTTGAGCAGGGGTGTGAGACCAGAAGAGCTCCCGAGGCGCCTTCCATACTCAACCATGCTGTAATTCTGTCTCATCTTCAGATGCCATCCAGTTACCACATTCTGCCAATGCTTCAGTAAGAGTACTGTGCATCCATTAACCCTTGCTAGTGGCACATAGGACCAAAAGTTTTCCAAGAAAGTGCAATAAAAGCTATAGTAAAAAAATTTATGGTTAGAATTTGCAGTATATTCAAAGAGCAATGATATTTGTAAACCTAATTAGCCAGCTGATTAGCGTCTGGCTAGTTCATGATGTAAGAAATTTTTATTTGCTTCAAACTTTTTCTATTATAATTGTTTCTAAGGTAACTGGAAGGAAATGATCTGCCATGTGACTGTTTCAATTCTGTCTCTTGGTGACTATTTTAACACCAATGTGTAGGGATTGTTGTAAGGCTGTGTAAAGCAGCAGGACTGACCATTTGGAATGTTAGAAGAAACATACTTTTGAAAAGAAGCATATGATGCACTTTGGGAAAGAAAGTCATCTTCCCGTCTTCCTGACATCTTAAGTTTAAACCAGGAGATTGTTTAACTTAGAAAATGGTGATGGTGGAACATCTGTTAAAAATTGTATTCCTTGTCTGCATTATAAGGAATGAAAACTTCTTGGAGGTGGGGGGAGAGGAAAGGTACTGATGAAAAACTACAAAGATGAGCTACAGTCAATTTTGGAGGGGTTAGTAGGTTTAATGCTGTGAATTTAGGCTTCTTAGACTGTAAAATCCCATTGCTGTGAAGGGGACAGCAGCAAGTCTGTGCCCTGTCCATGTGCAAAAGAGCTGATGGAAGGAGGGTCCCGTGTCTTCCCCAGAGCAGAAGAGCTTTACAGGGTGCCAAGTGCTGCAAGCTCAAGAGCAGCAGCCTGACGAGCAGTCAGCCAGGGACCCGGTTCTTGGCATCAGGCTGCCTCTGCAGCAGCAGCAGCTCTGCTAGACCACTGCTGTAGCTGTTTTGTAGAGTGGGTGGGTAGTTGCTTGGTTTTATGCTTTTACTTTTCTGTAGGGGGCATGAGTGTTGGCAGCATTACTGTGTGCATTAAAATGTGTTGGTGGACTCCAGAGGTCCCCTTTGCTTGTATGGTACTTTTCTTTGCTCTGTCTTTTAGGACTTAAATTTCTGACTCATCACTTACTGAAACTTTCATTAGAGCAGAGGTGCTGGATGTGATTGTGGTCTGAGGAGCAGGTGCAGAAGGTTGGAGCCTACACAGCTTCGGAAAGCTTGGATGTAAAGGGAGCTCTTCCAGTATTTATGAGATGTCCCACTTTTTGTCATCAGGAAACAGCAGTCTCTGACTACACCTCTGTTTTGTGAAAGAAGTCAGCTTCCACACTCCTGTTCCATTACAAGAATTAAAGTAGCAATGACTAACTAGTAAGATATTTATTTATTTACTTTAATAGTGGAGGTGCAGGATCCTGGGCCCATCTGATATTTTTTATCTTGTTTATAGGAACTTAATCAACTGGACAAGGCCAGTTAGACCCAATTATCTGGAGTGGAGGATCAGTGTCCTGTCCGTGTAGCACTGTGTTCTGCTSGCGCTTTATCTTGCAGAAGGGATGCAGACAGTTGCTATCATTGTTCGTAGAGCAGCCCTCCTCCCCGGGGAGGTTTCAGGAGCCTTTCCTGGTGCTGTATCTTACAATGTGCTTGAATGTGCTTCATGGTCAAACACGTCCAGGCTTGGTGAGGAGCAAGAGGAGGCTTCACTGYACCTCGCTGCACAAGTCCTGCGCTTCCCTACCACACTGTAGCAGGTGCTTCTCAGCCAAGGCTTAAGCTTAGACCATCAGTCTAGAATTAGGCTTTAGCCTAGATTTAGGCTTTTATTATTGTCTCTGTTAATGCTAGATAATTTATTGCTTTTTAATGTGTGTGCTCTCTTCAGCGTAGACATCAGAGCTAAAAGAATAGTCATCTAAGAGAGAAATGCTGGTTTCTCGTGGGGAGCTGGAAAGTTCCTGTGAGTAAAAGACTGTCTCGCCACTGCAAGCTCAAATGTTGCAGTTCTTGTAAGTTTACTAGTAAGTAAACTTACTAGTTTACCATCAAACTCTGCCATCGCACAGAAGGGGAGCGTGTTGTGAGCTGCAGTTGCCCTGGTCACTGAGAAGGTCATGTTTGGCTCCTGCCTGCGTGTGGGTCAGGCACCACTCCAGCTGCCATCACAGTCCCCTCCCCGAAATGGACTGGTGCTCATCTGGTTGCACATCAGTGCAGCAGTAAGTTGGGAAGATAAAAGGAAATGGGCCTCGAGAGGTCCCACAAGACTCAAGAACAAGCACAAGACTTCCACAGCCTACACAGTTATTCAGAACAGAGATCTGAACTATTATTTTAGGGTGTTGTTGTTGTTTGGGGCGGGGGAGGTTGTTTGTTTTGTGTCTCAGTTTTTTTAATAGAATAAGGGAATATTTCTCTGTATCACATTTGTACTGTGTTACAGAATAGTAGCTGGGTATAACTGGGAAAGCAGTTCCCAGTCTGGTCTGGTTGACCATCTAATCAAATGCCTCTTTTTTTTTTTTTTTTTTTTTTTTTTTTCTTCCTCCTCAAACAGAATGAGAACGTTGTTTTTGACTAGCCTGTTAATCACTCCAGGGAATAGTATTCAAATACTAAAAATCTCCAGAGCAAGAGGCCTTTTCAGGATATCTTCTCTTAATTCCTTTGTCTGGAAAAAATCAGTTGACAACAAAATTGATTTTAAATATAGTTAGTTCTTGATAATGTGAAGTTTTACCTCTGATCCAGTGTTGGAAAACAATTATGCAGGTTATAAATAGAACACATTTTAAACCTTCTCTCCAGAAGCCATATGCATGCTTTTGTTTTGTTTCAAGCATAACACAATGAAGGGTGTTTTCAGTTGAGGAGCCATCTCCTCCTGCAGAGGAAACAGGCAGGATAATGTTTTGCTTGGTTTATGGTCATCAAAGGTGAAGTGCACAATAACATTAAAACTGCATTTCCACAGTCAGAGGATATTTCTCATAATGAAGGAAGTCTCCAAGGCCAACAGCTACAATACCCGGGGAGGTGACATCACAAATTCACATCTGTGCAAGACTTTTTTTTTTTTTTCTTTAAACTTAAGTGTGACTCACACCACTTCCCAAAATACCCAGCTGAAATCCAATTACATGAGTAAAGTAAGCAGAATTTGATATACAAGACTCAAGATTACAATATGATTTTAGCTAATAAGAAACAAAAATCCCAAATGAGTACTATCCCCTCAAATAATTGAAAGGATTAAAGTCTTACTACAGACCTCCAGTATCGTGTTCATTTCCAAACTCAGTTTGTCCAGCTACTTTTTTTACAATGAGGATTGTATTTTACTGTGGTGGTGGCATCAGCAATCTCTTCTGAATCTACTCTGGGCTTGTGCATTCTTCAGTCATCCTCCCTGATGTGAAACTAGTAGGCTCGGCAACACGTGCTCCTGGGTTGATCTGCGTGTGTGTGAATCGGCTATTCTGGCAATCTTTGCTTAAGGGAAAAGGGAATAGGCTAAACTTTATTTTTCCAGGTCCCTTTGGACCACTGTGTGTTATGCAAATTAACCTTACGGGTGCAGGTACTGCAGTTTGGGAACCCCTGATGTGCCCTATTTCTCTCTTTGTTTTTATTTCTGTGCTTGAATTTTCCTTAGGAAAAAATATGTTTATGTTCCCCTTTTTAAGACACTAAATATTTTGCATACATATTTCCTTGGTTTAGTTTTAGCTTAGCGGCTGTTGATCTAAATTCAACTTGTTTTGCAGTGGCAAGAAAAAACRACACTCCTGAAAGGCCTTATTGTTTTTGTTCTTGTTTTCTAACCCCCTGAGATTTGCTCATATTCTGTTAACTGGATAGCAAAATGAGAGGTTGTTCTACATACTCCTTGTTGCTGTAGACCTTCTGCTTACGTGTACCAAGAATCTGACTCAATGCGGCTGAAGTCAGCTGAGTCTTTGCCTTGCTCCGGGTTGTTCTGAATCAGTCTGTAAATTGAAAAGACAAAAACATTTCTAATAGCAAAAACAAAACAATTTTTTTTTTTAATTCCTAAAAACTTATGTTGTGGTTTGAACCTGTTTTTCAGGTCTAATCATGTTCACCAGTCACCATTCCAAGCATCATATATTAAAGTGAAATAAATTACCCTACTATTCAATATTTTCTTGACTGAGTTTGGCTTCTCAACAATTATATCATTTAAAATGGGCGGTGGCATTCTGCTGTGCTTGGTCCCTCCTTTAACATTTTGGGATGATGCTCATGAAGACATGTAATCATCATCCAGGTAGCCAGGTAACCCTCTGTATTTAAGGAGGTGTGACTGAAGTGTGATCTTCTTTTTCACTTAAGCAGATATGAAATAGACTGGATTGAGCTAGTGAAAGAAGAATTTGTAAAGCTCAAGACATGTGTTTTGGAAATTGTGCTAGGTGTACTGGGTACAAGTTGCTCGTTCTTGCTTTGCTCTGCATTGTGGCCAACATTTTACTTTATTTTCCCAATGGAGAGACAAGATTTGCCTCAGAGCATCATCTCAGCAAATATGTGGAATGCCTTCATGGCATTCTAGGTGGAGGTTTTTTGGTAAGTAATGAGCTAATAATTTCTCTCTATTTTGGAGCTGTTTAGTGTTATGATCGCTTTACCTGTTGCGTTAATTCCTTGATTGAAGACCTTGTCAGCAGTAATCTGTATGGGTTAGGAGTTGTATCAGAAGAAAATAACTATATTGTACTGTATATAGTATTAGTTACTGTTGGTTATCACATCTGCAGTGTAGCATGGCTTATAGCTGAGAAAACCTTAGGGTCTGGATTCTAGAACTAAAACGCAGATTGGATTCAGGCCCTTCAGTGGGATACCGGTCACTTTTAGGGTCTTAGGGTCTAGTCTTTTTTTTTTCTTTCTCCCCCCGTTGTTGAGTTCTTCTGATATCAATATCACATTAATGTGCACAGATAACTAGTATTTAGTTACAATTCCTCAATTCATATTACCTGCAATATTGAAAAGCATCAGTTACTGCATCAGTTACTGCTCTATCCCAGCTGTTTCTTCTGAGAAATTGAGTAACAATTACTAAGGCTTTTTACAGTAGCAATAAAGGATGAAGAGTTGAGATTTTCTATTATGGTTGTCGTTAATCTGAAGCAATTATGTTCTACCTTTTTAATTTTCTGGACCATGCTATAGCATATTTAGATTTTCTGCTGATAAGCTTCCTTTTTTATTTGTTCTTAGCGATCTTCTGAGAAATATGCTATAAATCTCAAGGTGTCTGCAAAGCATAGGTTGAAAACCCCTGCAGGGTAAGGCCTTCTGTCTCCTGAGTATGCCTGTGGCTCTGTGCAGCCCCACTGGAAGCTAGACTGAGATTTGCAAAGGTTGAGCTTTGCACATGGAATATTTCAGGAGAAATCAATCGAACTGCTCTTGGAGCACCATAGCTGTTGTACAACCTCTTCTGAACCTGCAGAACTGGGGTGCAGAGATAGATTTGGATAAGGACTGACAAGTAGGTGATACTGTTCGGCTAGATAGCTTTTATTTTAATATCATGTGGAAGAAATCTGAGCAGTTCACAAATAACACTTCTGTATGATTTTCTGGGGTATTCAAGGGTGGTAAGAATTCTGTAAGTACAAACTTGTATGAAGTTCTGTTACTGCTGGCTCTGTTGTATTTGTGGGTGCTTCTTGATTTTATGCTAAAAGACATGGTGGGGGGGTATCTTTTAGACCTCCTTAGACCCACTTTAAGCCCTCTGCTCTGTGTGGCCTGTCTGTGCCTAGGTGCTGCTTCCAGCCATAGTGCTTATTGGGCGCCACCAGGTGTGCTGTGCGGGCGCCGGCCACGAGGACTGCGGGAAGGGCTGCCTGGTAAGTGCACCTTGATGCTCACTCCCAGATGGAGCCGAAAATAAGGGGGCTGCCACACTGAAGGGTCATGTCTGTGTTTGCGGTGCAGATGCTGTCCTCTGTTCTAGCAGCCTTTGTTGGGATCCTTGGTTCTGGCTACTGCATCATCATTTCAGCTCTGGGCTTATCCCAAGGACCATACTGCCTCACTACTGTAGGAAGAAACTGGATCTATCCTTTCACTGAATCCTCTGGAGGGTAAGTAGTGTTCCTGGGTATGCTTTATCCGTTGGTATGTACACATGGGCTTTATTCCAGTATCTTCCAGCAATTTCCAGTAACCTTAAACCAAGATCCAATCTTAATGCCTCTCACTAAGAACAAAACACATGGCGTCAGAGTTGCCCACGCTTCTGTAGTTCAAAACCAAAGCAGTTTAAACCCTCTGTTCTACAAGAAGTTACTAGAACATGCTGATCAGTCACAATAATGCCATTTCAGATGCTGGGAGACTTACTTAAGTGTGCTCTTAATACATTATGGAAATGTTTGTCCATATTGCATGACAAAGCAGCTGAGGGATGTTTTTAATGAATGCTAACATCAGTAGTGTCTCAAAGAGAAGTGGGGGGTACCTGACGTACTTAGCTGCATATATGGCCTAATACACAAAACACTGGCCATGGCCATGAGCCATGAGCATGAACATTTTTGACATAAGGTTTTTAGGACTTTCACAGGCTTCCAAACTAGAAGTAGAGGTTGTTATAAAGCATGGCTCATCACTGTCTTAAGAAATTGTTTTGTGACACCTGCTTCTGAATTTGCTTTGTTTCAGCCTTGGCTGGTATAATACCATCATCAGTTACTATGTTACAGAATATATGTAAATGAAACTGGAAAAGGTTTATAGAATTTTTTTTTCCTTTCATGTACTGTGAAAAGCACCTGAACCTCTTCATTATCCATAATTAGGGTTCTCTAGTAAATGAAGCCTATGAAGCACAGTTGTATACTATTCTTCATTAATCCCCACAAATACTATAGGTAAGAGGATCTGGTTTGAATTATGATGTGCTCTTACAGTATTTATGTGGCTGGCAACCTCTTGAGGCTCTTTTTATGCACAGTTTATGGTTGATGCATGCCTAGAGATGGTTTTGAGTAGGAAGCCACATGGAGATCCTTTGCAATAGAGTTTGAATTTCACATTTCAGCTGCATCTCTTTTGAGAAAGAACATTCTTTCTTTTTGTATTCTTTTATTTCTACTACTCTTGAATATAGAAGATACATGTTAACTCCTTTGGAATGAAGGCCCAATCTTGAAAGGCTATGTGCTTGTTTTAAGAAGGGGCTTGCACTTTCAATTTTCATGAGCTTGTGTCTCATTTAATCAAAAATAGAAAATTCTGCCTTTATAACTTAGAGTTTTTTTAAGAAACTAAGACTTTAAAAATATGTTTGGTAATTCAATGTATTCTTAAATAGGACAAGCTTTGCATGGAATTGCATTTCCTATTCCCGCTTAGAGCAATCATTATCAATCATCCTCAGTGCAGTCACAGTCTGAATCTAGTTTAGTTCCAGTGTACATTCAGAACCCCATTAGCTATGCACTTCTCTCTCACACAATTGTAATATACAATTTATATGAACAGGTACTTGCTCGAGTACAAGAAGTGGTCTCAATGTCAAGAACCACAAAACATTGTGCAGTGGAACGTCACCCTCTTTTCCATTCTGCTTGTCTTGGGAGGAATAGAGTTCATTCTGTGCTCCATATACATAATTAGTGCCATTCTCAGAGGAATATGCGGACTGTGCAGCCATCATGAGGAGGTAGGTCCTTTCTTCAGGTAGATACAGCTATGCTGCCTAGATGAACATGAAACACTGTGTTGTAGCGATGCTACAGCACAGGCTTACTCTCAGCAGCTCAGCAGCTATTTCTTAGATGTTCTGGAGCACCACTTCAGTGTGTGGCTTTGTACAGCCCTACTGTAATCAGTTTTCATGTAGAACTTGACCACATGCTTTTAGTTAATGGCTTAGCTGTCTGCAGGGGAGTTTTTTTTAAATAAAACTAGGATAAGAGAAGGAATTCAGTAACATATTAATAACAAAACTTGCGGCAGATTTGCCAAAGTATTAACTATTTTTAGACTGAAGAATTTCCTCCAAATTTATGAGAGTCTTGTTAAACATTTTGAGCTTTTTGACAAAATCAGTATCACAATGGTAGCATTACAGCTTTAAAGGTGTATGGCATAAAACAGATGTGATTTATATCACAGAGATTATAGATCAGTTTCCTTTTTTTCTGTTGTTAGAGCTGAACATCATGGTTCTCTCAAAGCTGTTTCTGTCTTCTCTCTCCTGCTCTCTGTGCTGTGTGCAGAATACCAGAAGCATATGCTGTAAGATAATGTAAATGTGGTCAGGCTAATTTTAGCTGTTATATTTGAACATAATATTGGTATTCTTTCCCATACTATTTATTTCTTTCATTTCCCCTCACAGACATACGTTTGCTAGAAAACCTGAAACGGTGTTGAAGTTGGTGCATTTGTGAAGTGTTGAGTATCCTGTTTTGTTTTGTTTTGTTTTTTCTTGATGGAAGGAAGGTGGTGGGGCTTGTTTTTTGTCATACTGCATGCATACTAGAAAGCAAGTTGTTGTCAGCTTAACTGACCTGGCACCAGCCTCTGTTGTTGGAGTCGTGTACAGGCTTATCACTGCATCTAAGGCAAAATGAATCCTCAGTTTCTTTGATTCATTTCACTTTAGTACAGACAACTGACTGAGCATGTGTGTCAGTAAAGGTACGCATTTTTTTTCTCTACTGACACAGCAGCTCTGTACTGTACGTTGCTTTCCCAATAAAATTGTACTTTAATTATTATGATGAAGAGAAAAATGGTCTAAAATAAATGGTCACCTGGAACAGAAAAAAGGGGGAGGGGGCAATATAAAATATGGATAACCAAGGGCAGATCCATATAATTCTCATTTTCAGGGGAGAGCTGGAAAAAAATGCATTAAAATGTGGATTGTTCAGAACTTTTCCTGTGTTTTGCAAATAAAGATTTGTGTAAAAAATATCCAGCAGATGTCAGTGCTTCTTTTCCTGCATGTAAATTAATGATGAAACTGTCCTTGCCTGATTTGAGAGGAGAGAAATGGCAGCTTGAGAGTCTGGATGTAAAGTAGTCAGATGATAACCTTCCTTACTGTGCAGCAAGCTCTGTCAGAGTGAGAACTTCTTCACTGCTTTGGCTCAGACCCTTCAGTGGAGCCAAACGGCTGGGGCTCCTCACAGCTAAGATGTGTGTCAAGGAGCGTATGATAGTTCAGTGACAGCCCTGTGACAAACGCAGCTTTTCTGAGCAGGCAGAGACTGCGACCTGAGTCTGYGCTAGCTGTTCCTTGCTGTCGGCCATTCCCAGGAATGGAAGGAGGTTCCTGCAGGACCTGGGGCCCTTCCCTGCTGCAGCCCCTTGGGGCGATCACCTCCTGCGCTCAGAGTCCCAGAAGGAAAGAGAACATGTGCCTGGTTCCTGCTTTTGCCTTGCTCAGCCAGCCCCTTGCAGTGGCCATGTTCAGAAAATGAAGTGGAAATTCAGGTCAGCAGGGGTAGGTTAATTGAATAATCTAATCTGAAATAGCGAACTTCAGCAGGGGCAGCCTCCAGGCAATCTTCTTCTAAGATGTAAGATGAGGAAGAACCTTTGAAGATTAGGTTGTGGGGTGTTGCAAAGGATGTTTTATCTCAAGTTAAAGTGAGTCTAAATATGCTATCAACACTGTTGCTGGTGAGATTGGTGTGCTAATGGCATTGTGCAAGTGAAAATGCCAGTATTTATTTAAAGGGATAAACAATGTGACAAGCCACTTAATCTGAAGAGGAAAAAAAAAAAAAAATAATGCAGACACATTTTGGAATCTAGCAGTTTCTGCTTTTTTCTTTTTTTTTCTTTTTTTTTCTTTTCTTTTTTTTTTTTTTTTAAACCAGGCAGGTTAATTTCTGCTTAGAGGAGAAAGAATACCAGCAGTTATACTGCATACTTACTACTGCTCATAATGAGGAAGATGGTTTTTAAAGGTGGAGAGAAATTGAGGAAAATCTGTGCAGTACAAATACCTATTTCAGAAAAATAAATCAACTGAAAGTGTCCAAAAGGTTAAATTGGGCATTGACTGACAGGGAGGAGGAAGGGGATAGTAGGGTCCTGATGGAATAGGATATAGTTCCCATATGACTTTTTGCCTTTACACTTGCATGATTGTTACATCGGTTTCCGATACATATTAATTAATCATAGAACTGAATCAGTAGGGATTGGCAGTGGACAGAATAATCATTCTATCCATCAGACTAGGATTTAGTATTAAAATTGTAGCTCATCTCTGTGTTAATTAATGCATAGCATTATTGCGAAGTCACTGTTTTATGTCATCTGCTGAAATAATCCAAATGAAGTCTTGCCAATGCCTAATGCATAAGACAGTGTTTTGGGAGCTTTACCAGTTAAGTCCCAGAAAACCAGGTAGCAGAGAAATCATTCACCCAGAATAAAYAGTGGTTTATGGTAATGGGCTACTCATCATGGATATTTACAGGAAAAAGAAAGTGGTTCTTGCAACACATTGTAATGAGAAACTGAAGTTGGGGCTTGCCAGGTTTGCCTAATACTTAATATAAAATTGTTGCTTCATGTTCTGGCAGTCAGCATGCCATCAACCAAACAAAGCTTAATTTGGTATTTGCAGAGCTCAGTTTAAATAAAAAGTAAACCGTGCTGTGTATTGTTGTACTCAGAATGAACTGTCAGGTGCCATTTTCCATTAGATATCTTTTAATTAAAACAGATTGTGATGCACACAATGCAGCAAATTGGATTAAAAGGTAATCTCATAGTAATTTTCACCTTTGCTTTTTTGAAAAATTACACTTTGGCCCACTATATGGCTTCTGAGTTTTGTAATAAAATGAATCCCGCGAACTTGTGTTTATGTGGGGATGTGACATGCCTGCTTTTAACTCAGCCATTTGTTCTTGTGGTCTSTAAGACCGTGTGGATGGCATGAGTTCTGTCCGTGTCCTGCCTGTCCGGGTCTGCTAAGGAAGGTTTGTTACTAATGTCAGTTAGAAGAAGGCCTAAAAACAGTGCTTATGGAGATCAGGGAGTAAAACGGGAAATAAGGGAAGTGGTAAGGTCCACAGTAAAGTCTGAGGACTTTAAAGCATCTTAGAAGAAGAAGTAGAGAGGGAAGCAAAGAAAGGCAAAGACACAGAATATGGATGGAAAAATGTTGTAACTGTAGTAGCATCATCACACCCATTTCCTTGGGTGATCCCATCAGAAATAGTAAGAAAGCAGTCAGTATAACATGTGATAACATGCAATCCCAGCAAAGCTAATGCATCTTTAAAGACAGATATGTGCAGGACCTAAAACAGCTCATGAAGAAACAGAAGGAAAATACATCATGACATCATTGCTTCTAAAACCAGTTTTCACCCTTTTCAGAGAGCACAAAGTTTTTTTTGATTTTGTTTTTGCCTTTTTCTGACCTGGGCTTTCCCACTGAGTAAACCATGTACTCAGTGTTGAGTTACTTCTCTCATAATTCATATAGGCAAGGAAAGGCAGCCACGTCTGTGCTGCAGGCATTGAAACAGCTCTGCCTCTGTTTTACAGGGCTGAATGCTTAATTGCTTTGGGTTCTTAGAACAATGATGAAGAAAACTGAGGAAAGCATCTTAATTTGGCTTTCTACAGTTCAACTAGCCAGGAATTTCAGAAAGTAACCAAACCTTTCTTCATGTGAGAAGTCATAGGTACTTAGATCAAATTGGTACCAGTATACACGCAACTCTAAAAGTGCAAAATAAAACAGCTAGAGAAATATCAAGCAACAGTTCACTGGACTTAGAAAGAATAATTAATTTAAGTGTGAAAGTAATTCTGCTGAGAGTTTGGTCTGGTGTTTGTTCTGGTGAAGTATTCCCATTTTTGTTGTTCAACTTCCCTGTGGATGTAGGTTGCCCGCAGGAATAGCTGTCACCCTTGGGCCAACATCGGCCAAGTTTTGACGTTAGTTCTGTCGTGTGAGACAACATGCAGCCCTTCGGTAAAGGCACCTAAGGTATTTATCAGACAGACCGCTTCCCCATGTAATGTAGCAAAAACCTGAGGTGTCGTAAAGCCGTGTATCCTGCCGGCTGTCACCGAGTATTCGCAGAATTAAGGCGAGCTCTCAGCTGGAGCACGTTTCTAAGTTGTCTCTAGGAAATGAGAAGTGCCAGATACAGACTTAGGAGGTGATGATGCCGTAACCCGGTTTGAAGTTCCTTCCTGAGTCTCTGTCTAGAGGCACTTTGGAAGATCGCTAGGGGATTAGTTAGCTTTTAGAAGGGAAACTGCTGCTTAAAGACATAGACTCCCAAGAACGAAGCTTTGAGACAGCAATATCTGTCTGCTGTTAACAACTAAGCACTTCTCTAGCCTTGGTCAGCAGGCTCTTGTGACTATGAAATGACAGGATCACACTAGGGCAGTCAAAAACGCGTTTTGTAATTAAAAACCTTGTTATTTTTGTTAGCTTAGAGGAGCAAAACTTCTCAAGTTTTTGAGAGATGGGATTAGAGACTTGTGGAAACTGCCTGAGTTGTCTGCTGATCCCTCTTGCACTTTGGAGTATTGTTGTTAACATTCTATTATACTTCCCTAACGGGAAGACTTCATATTCTGCCAGTTACCAGCTTCCCAGCCACGTGTGGTATTTTGAAGGGATCTGTTTCTCAGGTGTGATGGTAAGTGTTGGGTTTGTTTGTGTGTTTGTTTTTATAATGAATTGCATTCTACTGCAAATAGTCTTGGGTCACTGTGCAGCAAAATATAATTCTGCCAATTGGGGTTTTAAGGGGAATGTGGATTATTTTGGCAAAAACACTGCAAGCTACTTAGTTTCATATGTATGATTTTTCTCCTGGCTTTTTGTTTACGTGTAAGTTACACTTTTATTATTGGTGCATGTACTGTTTTGGTTTAGTATTCTGTGGCATTTGAATTAAAGCTCTTTTAGCAAAACTAAACCCAACCTAGAAAAACCTCCCAAACTGTTCAGATCTCTTTGAGTTCTATACAGTCTTTCAGAAGGCTAAATTACAGTTCACATCAAGGTTTATATCAGGCTGAACTATTGGGCTAAATGCAAAAGGTTGTCTGTCACTGTGACTGGCATGATAACATTTTTTGCATTGCATTTGCAATATGCTTATTTGTATCCACGAAGTAAGTTCAATGCTGCTCACATTGTTCATTGTCGATACAAAGAGCTCTAGCCTTTGGACAGAAAGCAGTAAGGTCACACAAGTGCTTACGGACAGCCTTTTTCTTTCTTTTCATTAGCCTTTCAAAGAGAGCTAATGTGCATAAGTAAGATATTTTTATGAAGGTACAGATCAAGATCATACAGATYTATGTCTTTTGAAGATATAGAGCAGGAAGACATAGAGCAGGAAAGAAAATGCCATCAGGCAGGGAATTCAATGGAAAAAAGCCTGGTTAAAATGGGGAGAAGGTTAACTGCAAAAGTTAGATTCATATTCTGAAACATTTTTAGCTTCAGGATCATTACTTGTGTATTAACAAATTTTAAGTAAACCTGCCCCAAACAAGGCACGAGCAGGTGCGAGAACAGTGCTGTGCCCTCACTGGATTTTTCTTACAGCGCGTCACAGTGATGAAAACTCTAATGTCAGCAAAGCTCCTTGTGACTGAGGGCATTTTAAGCAGTTTCAAGCAATAGGTTATTTAAAATGCTGGTGTTGCTGGTATCATAACCTTTTGAGTTAATTCTTTTTCTTCATGTATTTTTCTCTTAACTTCTAGGCTTCACAAATGAGAAAACCAGGGGCATCTCCTGTTGGAGATCAGCTCAGAAACCTTTCCTTCCCTTATGTCCCCATTTCAGTCCAGTGCTTCTCTGAGCCACAGTTCAATATTCTGAGAAAGATGGTATGGATACTTGGCAGAGGAAACACTTGAGAGCTGAGGTGGTTTAAAGTGAAAACTCGCACCACTATGTTTTTCTATGCTGCCTCTATTAGTAGAAGGCAATATCCTGACTATATAACTGCAGAAAAGCTGACACAGAATCAATATGGTTATATTAATAAAAACAACCTTGCTTTTTCTGCAGTCCTTTAGCTCACCTTGTGATGTCCCTTTGCAGATTCTCCTGTTAGCAGTAATTTTAATAACACTGGAGAGTAACTTGTTCTATCGGCGCTGCCAGAGTGAGAGCTGTAACAAAACCTACAGGGTGAGTCATTCTGTTGTTTTTGCCTCTCTTCAGTGTTTGTTCCGAGCGTCTTCCTGCTCCTATGTTTTGAGTACAGCCTTTTGCCCTCTCCTCTGCTTTGTTTCTGTCTCTTTTAACAGAGAAGGATTCCGTGTGGCTGTGAGGTCATAGAAAGCATAGATTCTCCCTTCTGATAAATAGGCAGGGTACAGGAAAAAAATAAACAGAAAAATCTGGCAAAATAATGCAAGAACCCAAGAGTTTTCATCTGAATAGCTTCATCATCTTGCTTCATCATTTGAAAATTATTTTATCCAGTAATAACTCAATATACACTGCCTGGGATGCAAGCATGTTTAATGTGTGTTCTTCTAGCATTCTGGGAGGCAACTTGGCAAAAATGCAAGTTAAAAAAATCCCAGAGCAATATATAATGGAGAGTTGTAAAGCTGTATTAAAATCTGTCATATTTTTTATCCTGTGAGTGCATGTTTACTATTCTTTACTTGGTATTTTTTGTTATGAATTTTGAAAGTTAGGAGAAACGCATGTGAAATTCAGCCCTGAGGAAGTAGCTGGGTAGGGTGAATGAATTTATTTACTTTGGAGACTGTCCCTGTGCTGTAATATTTTCTCTTCTCACTTCAGAGTTTTATTTCAATTGTGCTAGCCCTGCTTGGGATTGCTTTCTCTGGGTATAGTTCTATCGTTTCTGCTGTGGGATTGATCCAAGGCCCCTTCTGCAATTCATCAACTGGATGGGATTATATCTTCAAAGACACCACTGGAGGGTGAGAAACATCTGTCTAACTCCTTTGTACAAAACTGTCTATTAAAACAAGAGCAAGACCAGGCAAATGTCTGCTGTGCTCCCCGGGTAGGCGAAGCAGGGCTATGGAGCAGCTGGAAGCTGCGTGTGGTGTCTCTCACAGCCACACTGCACACATGTTCCTGTTCTTCACTAGTATTTGGTACTGATCCCAGCCAGACTTAACAAAAATATGAAATAAACCAATAAAGGGCATGTTCCTGTTTTAAACTTGGCTTATGCTATTTGCAGAAAATGACAGTGTTGCTCTAACACTTAGATGACAAGGATATCATAAAAAAATTAGTGAAGCAGATGCATTTGAGGAGCTCTGATCCAGTATCAGGTTTCAGTAACACCAATGTAAGGCATTTTACTCACCTGATTTAGACAAAATCATGCAGGATTTATACTGGTGTAATGAAAGAGTAGAATCAGTCTCATGGAATTGAAGCATATAAAGCCCATTTTTTATTTTTTATTTTTTATTTTTTTTACATATTACAGCTAAAATAACATGTATTTGAACATAATTGCACGTACCACCTTTAATTTGCCTCCTGTTGCTCTTTCTCTAATAGGTACCTCACAAATTACTCTGCTTGGTCTCGGTGCACTGAACCTGTAAACATAGTAGAATGGAACATCATTTTACTCTCTATTCTGATAGCACTTAGTGGACTTCAGATGATCATCTGTTTTCTCAAAGTGGCTGCTGAGTTGAAACGCACACTCTGTGGGACCTATTCTGTCTTTGTTCAGGTAAAAAATGAACTGAGATTATTTCTTCAGCAACTCAAAGACAGTTTAGCTTCAGCAGTTTCACTAAGTTGAGGACCTGCCCTTGGTTTATGCCCTCTCTWTGAATGCTGCATTTTCAGTAGCAAAAGACATGTACTGATAGCAAATTCATTGCATTGATTCCCTCAGTAATTCCTTGTGACATACCAGGATTGCAGACTGCTCACTTTTAAGACTAGGGCTGAGAAGGGAGAAGGTGGCAGGGAACTCGGCATCAGTGCAGTGGGCATTATTGCAGGAGTTTCTGAGCACCTTCCTTCCACCATTCAGTTTAAAGTTATTACCCAGGTGTGGGTTTCACAGCAAGAAAAAAAAGAGGCAACAGGTAATATGTGCTGAGCAGGGAGGGTGGGGAAACTGCTGGATCCAAGGAGGGCCTTGAGCAAACAGGCAAGGAAGGTGCTGCTTGTGAATGCTTATTGTAACAGCAGCCTAGAATAAGGTCAAGGCGCATGAGGCAAGTCTCTCAAAACATTTTAAGTGCTAACAAAAGACAGCCTGATTAACGTGAAAACCAGGACAGCTTTCAGTGAAGTTAAAAGAAGTATTGTCAGTTCGTCCTTGGAAACACAGAGGTCGTTTCTTGAGGGTGTAGAGTATGTTGAAAGTAGATTGTGCGTGRATGCTTAACAGCCAAAGCAACTCTTCTGTTATCTTTATGTTATTCATACAAAGTGGAGAAAAAAAAAAGAAGCCTTTCATTTCCTCTTCTTTTTCAGGCTGGGATTATCTGAAATGGCAAAGAAGTCTTCACTGCTACCAAAAAAAAAAAAAAAAAAAAAAAAAAAACCAAAAGAAAAAAAAAAGGCTTCTTACAGTAGATTTGTGTGCTGCGAAGACAAATGAAACACTAGTCCTAAATTTTCTCCCTCAAACCTCTTTATTTTGGATAGAGTTAAGTGAATTGTTTAAAGGCTCAAGGCTGAAGTGCATTTTCTGAAAAGGGCACTGTTTCCTAGCTTGTCTGGTTGTCTCTGGTCCTTTTGACCARAGTTTTTGAAAGAGTTTTTCTCTTTGACTCTCCTTTTTGTTCTGGCATTAGGGATGTTGAAATACTATGGGACTATTTTCATATTTAAACTTCTCTGAGTAAAACACTGTCTATAAGCATGCTTTTATAGTCCTCTTCTTTCCCCTCTTCCTCTTCTAAAAGGGCCTGATTCAAAGCCTAGTAGGGCAGGAGTTGTTCTATTGAGAATTAGTATACTGAATCAGTCCTTGACACTTCTAAAGGACTAATTTTAGATAGAACGATTATGGTCATGAAAATTACTCCATTCTACACTAGAAGCTTTCTAACTGCACAGAGCAATTACTGCCTATTGAGTCTTCCTGAGGTAATGCTCATCTCAGAAAGACACAGAGGCCTGATTTAAGATGAGATACTTACCTCTGAGGTCATCTGTTCTAATAGCTGCACTGAATTTCTTCTTCTTTTGTTATTCCAAGGCAGACTTTTTAACAGATATTACAAGGATTTTTAGGGAACCCTGTTAGTATCTAACACTAGCTGGTAAATGTCCTGATTCTGCTACACTGGAGAAGGAACATTCTTGCCAGTAACAATCAGAATTTTATCATCGTTTAAAAAAGATTAAAAGTCCTATTAATTCATCCTGTCTTCAGAGAATTATTGTTTCATTTCCAGTGGAAATTCAGGGATTCACAGCAAAGATGTGTGGCTCATCTGCAGCTGCATGGGCAACATTTGGTTGTGTTCAACACTCTACACTCTTGTTTCAAAAGAACAAACTCAGAGGACAGCCAGATCTGTGCTTCAGACTTGCAGGAATGCATGCAGCCCTGTAACTGAAGAAGCAGTGCGATTCTGCTAAGTTATATATTATAAGTATTATAATATTATAAGTATTTACTATTTAACACTGCTAGAAGTGCAAGTCATACCATAACTAGCAGCTGTGGATAAGATAGAGGGAAAAAAAAGATTTCAGTAATTTAACTCTCTGTTTCAAGGCAATATTGTATTTTTTTCTTGATATTTTTCTATCAGATATTTTGGAAAGCTGATTTTCTGTAGGGCTTGAATAAAATACCTAAATTCTACTCGGTTAGCTTCTGTTAGGTTTCAAGAAACAATAAAGAAATGAGTTCATGTAAGAATAGAACAAGTGTGTTCTATTACTAATAGTAATGAATATTGGGTCTTCCTAAAAAGCAGATCCTTACCTATAAAGACCTGGCATTCCTTAGGGAATCTCAGGACTGATAGTTAAGGAGAAGTCTGGTCATCTCAATGACAGTTCAAGGCAACAGGGATGTTCAGAAGTATGAGATAAGAAGGTATATGACGACAAAATGAGTTTTCTTTGCAACTGCACAGTTGGTTTTCCATAGGCTTGCAAGTGTATCATGTCATATATGATAATCCTGCATTCATATGGATTTATTGATATTGTTCTGAGAAGAAAAGATAAAAGAAATACCAACCCTTACTGCTAGTAAATAGCTTGCAAAATCTGTCAGGCTTCATGCTTGCAAGCCATGTAACTGCTTATTTTGAGAATGTTAGAAATGTTGGGAAGTTTTGGTTATTTGAATGAAAAATAGTATGGGGGATGCACAGAGCAGAAGCACCCCAGAAGAAAGCCCCCAGCCGTAGGAGAATGGCTCAGTTTTACTGAGGCAAGAAACACGTTTTTCTGCTCAGGCTCCAGCCCAGTCATGGGGAAAATACAAACTTATCTTTAGGCAAACAGGGCCTATTGAGGTAGATCTGCTGGATAAAACCAATGTAATACCTCCAGCTTGCACCTGGAAACTCTTAACCCCTTAACCCCCCTTAACCTTCTCTTGCTCCTATATCTGTTCTCTCCCCCAGTTTACAAGATGCTTGTCTGTGACAATTAAAAATTTTGAATTTAAGTATCTAGAAACAAAAGGATTTTATTTTATTTTATTTTATTTTATTTTATTTTATTTTATTTTATTTTATTTCCTTTTTCTCACAGTAATATTGTTAATGGTGGAAGTGGCCTTGGAGGTAGCTTGACTGTCTTTGCTTGATATTGTACTGTGATTGTTCCCTGTGAGTCTCCATTTCCTCTCCCGCTCTGGTTTGTATCTCCTTCTTTTATGGCTGAATTCAAAGGATATGCTGTAGTTCTTTTTAAAAGTATTGATTCTGCAATGCTGTTTATTTGCAGTCCAGACACTGGCATCTTCATTGTCCTGGCTAGAACTCCACTGTGATCTGATTTCTCAGCCTTTAAAGGCGCAGCTCATTCATTGAAATGGATGCTGAGGGCGCTGAAGGCCAATAGTGCATTCACAAACATTTAGAAATTTAACAAACTTTTTTTCTCAAAGGACCTTTAGATGCCAGGAAGAGCTAAAATGGACTAGTGAGTTAGAGTCTTGATTCAGTTCTGGCTTTGTACCTAAAACCAGATTCCTGTAAGCAATATTGACTGACTTTGAAATACCAGCATGACTGGTGTCTCTTGATGCTTTTTGAGGCAACATGACATGCAGCTCTCTAGCTGCAGAACACAGATGTTGGCCCAAACTTCAACTGCAAAGAGAAACTGGCAGAGCAAGAGTGAGCCCTCACCTTGCTGGTAGAGGAGAAACTCCTGTCCCAAGAAGGGTTCCTGCACCTGGGGTCTGTGTGCTGCCTGCTCAGGTCCACGGGGAAAATACAGTGTTGGCACAGCACAAAGAAGGCTGCAATTTTGAGTTCATAGATTTCTGCAAATGAGAAGTTGCTGCTGCAACCTAAAGGCAAGAGTGCTGGCGCCATTAGTTCCTCTCCAACGAGGTCTTTAAATAAAAACAATGTGTATTTATTCTGCAAATCAAAAAGTAATTCAAGGGAGTCAAAGGACTTAAGCAAGGGATTGGTCATGTTTCTACCCTTGCAGAAATATGATGAATTCAGTTATAGTGGTTATATGCCCTTTCTTCTCCTCAAATCAGTGATGACTTAGGAAAAAAAATAAACAGCCCACAGGCACATGAAGGATTCTCAGTTGTATTAAGGTATTAAGGAATGAATTTGAATTTAAGTAGTGAAGAAATATGTTGTTTTTACCTGAATTAATTTTCACGTGGAGTGTATACAACTAGTGCAAACTGGTCTTTCTTACAGACCATTGACCTTTATTCTTGAAAGAAAAAGAAACCTTGCATAAAACATTCAGGGAATGTGCTGCCAAAATGGGGAACTCCAGAATTTCATCATAGCATCTGTCAGCTTTTCAAAACTCGAGTCTGAATACATTTGCCTAGGGAGAAACAGATTTCTCTCTTTAATGCACAATTGGAAGATTCTGAAAGGTGAGTTTTAGTTTTCAGACAGTGTCTAAACTTCCTTATATAAATAATGGTTATTCTTCTGTATATCACAGTCCTGTTAAAATACTGTAAGATTTATACGTATCTAAAGGAAAGCTGTTGTACTTTAATTATATTCTGAATTTTTGTCTTTTTTCCAAAATAATCATAAATGTCTCATAAATGATAAAATTGTTTTATCATTAATATTTTTAAGTGGTCCTACACTGAAGAGTGCATTTTGAGTGAGTGTGATTGTGTCAGTTTCTCAATTGCAAAAAATATTTTATAAAAATGCCCAAGTGACTGACAGTATCTTCAAAACTTGCGATTTTACATTTGTGTTTGTGTGTCTAGGTAAGCTTCAAACACAGCCATGACATTGCTGATATATACTTGAGAAAAAAGAAAAGCAAAGCAGATTTGTTAGGTGCTTTTTAAAAGTCCTGTGTTCAGAAACCAAAACCTACTACACTGAATAATAAATGTAGATAACAGTAAGAGTTAGGGTTATCTTCTGCTTTATGTATATGTTCTGCTTTGCACTATTACAAAGCATGGTTTATCTTACCTGGTGACACACAAGATGGGCAGGGATGTGCTAGGGAGTTTATTTTGCAGAATTTCCAGGCTGCATTTCTATTTGGGTAGAAACAATCCCAGAACTGCTTGGGAATGAAACGCAGCCTCAGCCTGCCCCTTCAGCAGGGAGTTCCTGAGGCTGTTCCTCTCCAGATGTTTATTCCACACCTGCGCTGAATTGTGCTAAATTGTCTCTTCAAAGGGAACTGCAGTGGTGAGCAAAGCTTGTCCGAGTATATGTCAACACACAATCCATGTAGCCTCAGTCCTTCCTCATCCGTGTCTGTCTCATCAGATCTGATTGCTGTACAAAGAGGAATCAGCAGAGAGATTAGGAGATTTGGCAGGAGCAAGGGAAAGAGCAGCAGAAATTGCAGCTATAGTGCTTGTCTCCCCAGCATTATTTTCTCATTAGGATGCAAAATACATAGACAGTAGTAAAGGCAGTAAGGAATGCAATTAAGCTTAGTTGTATGAGTCCATTTAAATCCGGAGTACCATAAACTCAATTACGAGATTTACAATCTGATGACAGTCTAAATAGTAGTTTGCATTGTAGTAGGTTGGCAGAAATCAAAAGAAATGCCTTTGAAGATTACCTGAACTAATGAGGTTACCAGAATCTTATGTTTACTCTTGACACACAGGGGAATTGTGCAACTTTTTATTGCGTTTGCCAAAGCAAACGAGGGGGGCTGGGGGCGGGGGAGAGTAGGCAGGGGGGTTGGGAGAAACAGAGCATATAAAGGGAAATTCCAAGTGCCCCCCATCTGCTTTTATTTCACATTTTCAACAAGCTGCATGAATGCAGTATGAAGCTGTTCTTCCTAAGTTGCCTGCTGGTTTCTTGCTGTTGCCAAGCAGGGGCGATGACCAGAAATTACTATATCGGGATTGTAGAGACAGTGTGGAACTATACACCTGGCAATAAAAGCATCATATCCGGGCAGCTCTTTGCAGAAGAAGAGTAAGTAATATAGTTTTATGAGTTTAAATGTTGAATTTAGACACTCAGATCAGCCGGAAAATCTGGTGAAGTTGGTGAAGCAGATAATATTATTGTCAGTGGATTTTCTCTCAGACATAAAATGTTTTTTTTTCTAGTTTACTTAAATAGCTTCCAACTCCTTGCAAGTTAAAAGCAAATGCTTTTTGTGAATTTACTGCAATGAAATCCTTACTAAATAAAGACTAGAAAAACAACCCAAATGTTTAATGATGATTAAGTTTGCATGACATGCCATTGCTGAAGGGAAGGATTTTGCTTTTGTATTCCAACTTCCCCTCTGTGCAGAGATGTCCTTTGCAGACGCTGTTGTTCGGCAGTGACCACTGTGTCTCACGGGGGTTCGCAGCGCAGCTGAGTCCTGGTGTCCACGGGTGGCGCTGGGCGCTGCTGTGGGGACAGGCAGGAGGGAACAGCGGGATGTGCAGAGGAACAAGGCAGGGAGGGAGCAGCAGCGGGCAAGTGACTGGGAGGAGGAGGAGGAGAGGCCCTGAAGGCAGGAGTAATCAGATGGAAAACTCAGATACCCAAGGCATGAAGATAGATTTGAGATTTTTTTTTTTTTTTATGCCTACCTTTCAGTGTCTTTAAAATGAAGTAGGATCAAATTAAGGAAAAAAAAAAAGAGAGAAAATAATGACAATAATCTAGAAAATACCTTCCTCCCTTAGCTGATAGATAAGTATTTAAAAGATTTCCTGCTTTCAGGAAACTTCAGCACTTGAATTGTGGYGTCTTTCTCCACTGTGACAACCAGCAGTTTCTGAGCCTAAATTTGCAGTTTCATCAAGCATGAGATGAAGCAATCAACTTATTTTTTTCACTTAGAAGCTGAGAGATGCCATGTAGTGCACATGGATGGCCCAAAATTACATGAAATGACATTATCTTAATTCTACAAATATTAAAAAAAAAAATTCCAGGCAATTGTGTAACACTGAGTCTGTCTGTGTGGCTAACTCTGTAGGTTCAGAGCTGTGTTTGCTGGCAACCACAGCTATAGCTGTGTACAGTGCTACAGAGGCACAATTGTTACTCAGAATCCTGCTAATTTACTCTATTTAAATATAAAATGAGTATCTGCCATTGCAATGCAGGTCTGTTTTTTCTCCACAGGCAGGCTGAAGTCTTTCTCAAACAAGGACCACATAGAATAGGAAGCATTTATAAGAAGGCTGTTTATACTCAATACACCAATCATTTGTATGATGTAGTAGTTGAGAAACCTTCATGGCTGGGATTTTTAGGCCCTGTCATTAAGGGAGAAGTTGGTGATTCCATTGTTATCCACTTGAAAAACTTTGCTTCCAGAAGCTACACTCTGCATCCTCATGGAGTAAAATATACCAAGGAAAATGAAGGTAAGTATGAGTTGGTGAGTTGGTCTGCACCACAAGTTACCAAGTAAGTGTTAAGTTCGGGGCGCCAGTGTCATTTCACTGCGAGAGAGTTCTGCTCACAGAAATACAGATCTTAAGAAACAATCAGCCTAAAGTAGGAACTACTTAAGAACTTGGGTATTTTTGAAGAGCCAAATTCCTAAAGATTTATGAAGAAGGCCATTTTCAACATTTCACCTGAAATGAAGGTAATATGAGAGATGCAGGTTTTGAGGGTATCTGAAGGAAAAGCTGAAACCATGCCAAAGAAAGTATTGTTAACAGTGATAACTTCTTAACTTGCATTATGTATGAGATGTACATGAAATTCTTATAATTCAGAAGCAACGACTGCTTAGTAATAAATTAATGGGACAGAAGTCTGACATGTTAAGATGTGTGGTAATGATAGCAGAGGGTCAGGGGTGGTTTGCCATGGTGATGGTTGTTCTCACCGCAATCAGGTAGGGAATTTCACTTTTCACTGAAAATCTGTGATTTCCTAGCACGTGTTCTGTATTTCATGCATCTAAAATACATCTCTGGCATCTTTTATAAGTACAGCAACCTGTGGGCATGAACATCACCTGTCAGAGACAGCAACACATCCATCCTAAGGAAAAATAATAATTCTAATCTCCTCTTTGAAGAAACAGGAAATGTCACATGCTGTGATGAAATCCATATTCTGAGGGAGCAGAGGAGTGTATTATGCAGTAAGATATGTACTTTGTAGAGCAGTGTTTACATCTTTCATTTATATTGCTCTCATTTCAGAGGCACGTATATTACATTACTAAATGTAATGTTTAGGACAGAGTCTAAGATTGATATTTAACAAATGTTTTACAGATATTTGTGTCGTTAGCTTTTTTAGCGAAGTATACAGTTGCCTTCCCAATAAAATAAGGAAAAATTTTAAATTCTCCTAAGGTAATAACATTCCCATGGAGTTTAAAGAGAAATGGAGAGTTTCTTAAAGAGAAGGGAAATATCGCCTCTGGTTTTAGAGATTTACTCCCTGTGTTCAGATGTTTGATGAATGTGATTGCAACATGTAGTCAACTTTGAAGCATGGCAGGTGTACAGCTGACAGTTTATTGCTTACAAAGGGCAGGATCAAAAAGGTGGTGGTGGTACAACAGCTTCATCTACCCTCCCCAGCTCTTTGTTTTTGAATGTCATTCCCACGCTGTATTGTGAACATGTTTTGCTAATACTGGCCGTGTACCATTTCCCAGGTGCTTTTTATCCTGACAATACCAAAGATTTGCAAAAAAGGGATGACGCTGTGAAGCCTGGAGACCAGTACACTTACATATGGGAAGTGACAGAAGATCAAGGTCCAGCAAGCGGAGATACTGATTGTATAACCAGGGTTTATCACTCCCACATAGATGCTCCAAGAGATGTTGCCTCAGGACTTGTTGGACCTTTGTTAATTTGCAGGAAAGGTAAAAAGAAATAATACATAAAATAAATAAGCAAGATGATTCGTAATGGTTATTGAAAAGTGAAGTATTTCCTGGAAGAGAAGATGATTACAGTTTATTTTGGAATAGCAACATTTTGTCTTTTCAGCTAGCTTCCATTTAGTAGTATCAGCGGTACTTCAGTATTGTATGTGCTAAATGTACGTGGAGTGTTTTGTCCATAAATACATCTGCAGGTAATGTGTTCATTTGGTAATGCAAAAGGATGTATGAACGACAGTATGGGAAACAATTCTAAATTTATTGCAACATGCAATATTAATTCTTAACAAAGTAATGGTGTAGCATCCACCAAAACTGATCTCAGTCAAAGTATATTGTTGTTTTATGTAAACACTTGCACTCCAGAACAGTGATAAAATATAAGTATATAGCCTTAGAAGTACTACTACTACTACTACTACTACTACTACTACTACTACTACTACTACTACTACTACTTATGTAGTAGAAGTACTACTGCTACTTAAAATGGACAAAATTATAACAAAGGTGAATATGTTATTTTGTTTTTCAGGTACCATGAGTGACAGTGATAAACGCTTTGCTGCTGAATTTATCCTTATGTTCTCTGTGATGGATGAAAATCTTAGCTGGTACCTGGAGGACAATATCAGGACATACTGTTCTGATCCTTCCAATGTTCGCAAAGATGATGAGGACTTCCAGGAAAGCAATAAAATGCACTGTGAGAGACCTTTATATTAAAGTTGCTTTTCATTAGTGTAATTAAGTAATATTTTGATTGCTTGTCTCTTTTAAAGATGATTTTGTTTTTGTCTTAAGTAGGATTCTTTCTTGGAGGATTAAGGCCCTCTTAAAAAATGTTGGTTTAGAGGCTTGCTTCTTCCTCACTAATATCAACTGATGTTTTGCTGCCAACCTTGAAGACTGCATGATTGGAATAATATTTAGCCTTTTTTGATGTTTTCCCCCTCTCTCATTTGGCACATTGACAAATATTGCAAAATCAAACCTTTGAAACAGTGCTATTAAGTTCCTAGTGGCCAAGAAACTATTTAACAGTAAAATTTCCCAGGAACTCTAAACTAAGTTTTATTATTTTAGCTTTTTAATATTGAAGTTTAGAAAAACATTTTTACACCATTAGTGTGAACAAAAAAGATCCCTTTTGCCCTGGCAGGGACTCCAGATTTAGAGCAGGAGCTGCTGGCTGTGCATTTAGCCCTATGTATCAGCTGCTCTGATATTGGCTCCATTTAAAAGGTGTGAATTTTTTCTTTTGAGCCCATTTCCATCTTGAAGACTAAAGTAGTCATTCAAGATGCCTTGTTCTGAACAAAAGATCATCTCTGTAAAGGTAACTGTAATAAATAACATTTATTTCAGCAATCAACGGGTATATGTATGGATACCTCCCAGACCTCACAATGTGCGTGGAAGATAGGGTAAAATGGCATCTTTTTGGCATGGGTAACGAAGCTGATGTCCACTCAGCCTATTTTCATGGACAGACTTTAATAGAAAGGAATCACCGTGTCGACACTGTGAGCCTCTTCCCAGCCACCTTTATTGATGCCGTCATGGTCCCGCAGAGCCCTGGAGAATGGCTACTGAGCTGCCAGGTGAACGACCACATCCAAGGTACAGAAAAAACTTCAGTGATCACAAATTGTGCAGTTTGAGGTAGAAACTTACTGAGTCACATTAGCACATAAGCCCATTCCACAGCAATTATAAGCCAGGTGACATTCTTCTCCTCCAGTTAGTAAAACTCTCCCACAGTAAGTGACATGTCTAGAAGTGCGTTAGCTTGGCTTGAACATGAGGCCACTAATATCAAGACAACTCTTCTTAGTAGTGGAAAACATTGTCATTTGGCTGTATTTTTACAAGCTCCAGCTTTAGACAAACAAGACCATGGCATATACTAGATCTGACCGAAAGTAAATAACCACAGTTTTGTTTGTTTGTTTGTTTTCCCAACCAAAAAGTTGGAGCTAATCCCAAATTTGGACGACAGGCAGAGGACAGGCAAATTAACTATTTTGATAAAAAAAAGACAAGCTCTGAAAAGAACACAGGCTCTTAAGCAGAGAAGAGCTACTTTCTCTTTCCTGTATCTTCTATTTCCAGTGTTTGTTAACTATATGAAATGCTTATAAGGTAACTCCATGCTTTTCTATAGTTATAATTCCCTAACTCTTGAGTTAGAGAAGTCATTTGTCATAAAAGTGTGAATGACCACAGAATTCAAAATCATACTCCAAGATTTAGAAATTCTAGTATATAAGGAGTATGTTTAATCCACAGCTTCAGCCACACAGACATTCTAAGTTTTGGGATAGCTGTATCAAGCAGAATCCTGATTTGGCTAAAACGTCTTGCACAGGACTTTTATATCTTACAAATAAGATGCTCAAATAATCTATAGCTGTAAAAGGGCTCTTCTTATTTTGTTTGTTTGTCCTCAGACTTTCTAGCAGACCTCTCTCCACAGATAACTGCTAGGGCACAGAGACCCAGGGTGACTGATTAAATGCAGTAGGTAGCTGGTCACTCCTGCTGTGACCATGTGCTGACTAACAGTGCTCAGTTTCCAGTCTGCCCTGATCTTATCTTCAGCTGCAGGTCAGACCTATCTTTATGAAATACCCTTTTCCCTGCAAATCTGCCTGTCATCAGTAACGATGTCATGTGTCTGCTTTCAGACTTAGGTGGCATGTATTGCAGCACGCCATTTATCTCCCACTTTTTCTGTGATTTGCACATCCATCAGTGGTGTGGAAATGCTGCCAGGAAGAGCAGAAGCTATTAGAGCCAGGGAAAAGAGAGAATAACGCTGCAGTTTTTCTGCTCTTTTTTGCTAGGTGGTATGCAGGCCCTTTTTAAAGTGAGAGAGTGTGGAAAATGCACAACAAATCATGAGGAGAGTGCAAAGATAAGAGAGTACTTCATTGCTGCTGAAGAAATCATCTGGAATTATGGCCCATCTGCAATGAACCATTTTACAGGACAGGAATTAATTGCTGACAGGTAAATGCCTCTGATTTAAAATGTTTTACTTTCTAAGCAGACTAGACATAAGGATGATATATAAGGCAAGCAGTATGGTACAAACAATGTTTTAAACAGAATTTTTTCTTGTCTTCAGCTCTAGTGGAATGTTAATGCCATGGTAATACAAACAAATCCAAATAAATTATACCAATTGTTTCCTTTGTAATCTTACTGTATATTTTCTGTAATGCTGGTAATTTCACTCAGATGAAGACAAATTGTACTGCCATATGTAGACAGTATTGCTGGGCAGTTCAAGGTGATTGGTTATGCTTAATTAGAAAACACAGCTGGTAATTCAGCTGGTGAAAAGGCTGCTGCGCAATGTGGCGTTGCCCTTTCTCCTGCCTCATTTCACTATTTCAGTAGCACTTGTGAAGTGTTGAAAGGTCCTATTTTGAAGATACAGTACAGACTAAGTCCTCATACTTCCTCTCGATTGAAATGTTGCTTATGCTTGGTGTTTTTACCTACTGTACTTGGACCTTCTGTAAGTTTTAATAAAAATAAATTTTGGAAGTACAGAATTAGGATTACGAAACATAGAGCAGAAATTATTGTTGATGAGTCTCCCAGCATGCTGGGGTCTACAAGAAAAACACAGCAGGATGTTTATTTCTGTAAGAGAAAGTAATGAAAAATACTGTATTTCTGCACATCCTTGTTGTTGGATTGCATATAAGCATATGGCCAGAGCACTGAGTGGAGATTCAAAAGATCATTTTAACATATGATGCTTGGAAAATAAAGATGAGGTTCTATCTGCCATTGAAAAACACAGCATTGTGAACTTGAAATCACACTATTTCAATTCACTATATCACTATTACAATTTCTTTTACACAGTGATTCTCAGATATTTTTTGAACAAAGTGAAACAAGAATTGGTGGCTCCTATAAAAAAGTTGTTTACAAGGAATACACAGATCATACGTTTACAGAATATAAAAAGAGGCTGCCAGAGGATGAGCATCTTGGACTCTTAGGTAAGATACTTAAATGATTTTATGTCAAAGCTTTACAGGACTGAGTGGTCATTTCCAGCCTCTGGCCATACGTGCTGGTATTCTTCATGGGCAGCCACAGGCCCCTCAGCGAGCTGCCTGGGGCGCAAGCCAAGCCCTGTGTGGCRGTGCCTGGCAGGCCGCTCGTTCTGCAGGCCTTGTGACCGCCCTGGGAGGCTGGAGAGCATCTCCCCGGAGCGCTGATCCTGGTTCCAGCCTGGCTGCCTCGAGGCCATGCTACGATGAGATCAAGGTTGAGAGCGCAGGTCCTTTCCAAAGGGAGGAAGCCTGTTGTACCTTTCACTAGGCCTTCAAGAGGAACGGCAGCTTTGGTACAAGCAGCCCAGAGGCTGCAGGGTGCTGTGAGGGTCACGTTGTGTGGCAGAGATCCTCACTGCAGCCACACAGTGTAGGGAAAGCCCTCGGCCACTACCATGAGCTCTGTACTTCACTTGACTGAAGTTTGTCAGTACTTAACTTGACCAAAACGCCCTGTGCTCCTTTCTAGGACCCGTTATCAAGGCAGAAGTGGGTGAGAGCATCAGGGTGACGTTCCGAAACAACGCCAGCCGCCCATTTAGCATCCAGCCGCACGGAGTGAGATACCTCAAGAGCAGTGAGGGGGCTTTGTACAGCACCTTCTCTGGAGGTGAGTGCAGCCAGGACCTGCAAGTGTTGGAGCACACCAGAGCGCAGGATGGTGTTGTGTGACAAAATAAACAACATTCTTTAATCTTAACATTGATTTTTGTACTAGGTGCTGAATCTCCAGCCTCCCACGTGAGTCCTGGCACTATGTTTACGTATGAGTGGAACGTGCCGAAAGATGTGGGCCCTACAGACCAAGATCCTGACTGCCTAACCTGGCTTTACTATTCAGCTGTCGATGCAGTCAGAGACACCAATTCTGGCCTTGTGGGTCCGCTTTTGGTGTGCAGAAGAGGAGCTCTGCTCCCTTCAGGGAAGCAGGTTTGTCAAAGAGAAAAACAAACATTTGCACCATTGTACCTGATTCCTCTTCTCTGAACTGTGCCCTGAGAGCTGCCACTTTAGCAGCTCTAAGCACAGCTGTTTCACACATGTGCCGAGGGTAATGCACAAAATAGAAACAGGGGAAAAAAAAAGGAGGAGGAGGGAGAAAAAAGGAAGAAAAAAATCATCTGGACACTGTCTTGCAAAACCAAAAGTGAGCAGGACAGGCCTGCAGGTCCCAGACAGGATGAGAATGACTAGAAAAATGAAGCCCAAAGCACTGATTCGATTCAGAGGTTCTCCAGGCAGAAAGAGTATTAGCAGCAGATCGACCGGTTACAGCAATTAGAGAACTTTGAGGTTATCTGAACGAGGGCAGCATCAATATAGGTGTCTATCCTAGTTTGTAAATTATGCTCAATTTCTTATGTGTAAGAATTATGCGTACGGCCCCTTCTGTAATGTTCACTCATTTCTATTGTTTTTTTGTGCTGTTTCCTGTCAACAGAAAAATGTGAACAGGGAATATTTTCTGCTTGCCACAATATTTGATGAGAATCTCAGCTGGTACCTGGATGACAATATTTTGATGTTTACACTAAATCCTGACAAAATTGACAAAGATGATGAGGATTTCCAGGAATCTAACAAAATGCACTGTAAGAAATTAATTTGTTATAGTTAGCAAGCCAAAGACTTCTTTTACAGAGTAAGATTTTACTGTGACCCTATGTTAGAGAAGAAGAGACTATATAATGGCAGCAACTCATTCCCTTCCAGTGGAGCAAATGGCACATCTGCATGTGGTTCACACTCGGCTCAGCCCACTTCACAGGGCAACACCGGCTCTTTGGTGTCCTGCACCGCGCTTGAACATTCAGCACTGTCCTGGGTCCTTCAAGCAGAGATAGGAAGGAGCTCAGTAGCCACATGCTGAATGTAGCTTGGACCAATAGAAAAACCTTGTTTTCTCTAGCACAATAAGTGTATATACAACATATATACATATGCCACTTGTGTTTTCTATTTGTTTTCGTTTGCTGCTTTTTTCCGCCCCCCAGAATACTTGCAGAAATACTGAGGATGGAATTTTACCAGACTGCTTTTAAATGCAGGTTTTTAAAGGTTACTTTGCTTAATCGTCTAGTTGTGCTAATGTAATAAGGCATTACCCTATTGCTACTTCTGTCAGTCTGAGGCATTGCATTACAGCTGAAGTGTGTATTATTTAGCAGAACAGTTGTATGTGTTAACCAAAGGTTTATTTTTTCTTTTTTCCTCAAATCTTGTACAGCCATTAATGGTTATATGTACGGAAATCAGCCTGGCCTTCAGATGTGTAAAGGAAATGTGGTTTCTTGGCATTTGATGAGCGTGGGGTCAGAAGTCGATGTCCATGGAATATATTTTTCAGAAAATACATTCCTTATGAAAGGAACAAGACGGGATACAGCAAATCTGTTTCCACATACTTCTCTCACAGCTATTATGAAGCCTGACAGTGAAGGTAAGAGCTGTGGTTAGTGTTTGGCCGTTGTCCTGTACGCAGGTGTACCCGTCGGGGCTGCACCGCCAACCAGGCAGGTACCCCCGGCGGCTGTGCTGCCAACGGGGCGGTAGTGCCCGGTGCCCGCCGGCCTGCGGCCCCTCTGCAGCCAGGGCCCTGGGAAGCCAGGGAGGGCAGCTGCCTTCTTCCTTCCGCGTCTTTGCTTTGGCCACAGGCTGGCCCATTTATACAGAACCATATGGATAACGAGACACATCTAGCAGTAAATACTATCAGTGACTGCTGAAAGAAACTGTGTGAGAAGTGTTAATTTAGATGTTGTTAATTTGAGCCTTTGGGTGCTAGAACTTTGTAAAGCCTTGTTGCTTGCTCACAGGAAATAAGCTTTTAAAGCTCAGACCGTGATTTTTGCTAGCTCCTGTGTATGTGCTCATTTTAACGATCTCGAATAGCCATGATTTGCTAAGAATTTTCATCTTATTTGAGCAACAGCCTGTGTCTCAATCTCTAAACATCAAATTTGTACAGATAATAGAATTTCAATGTCTACTACTAATAGATTTTTGTCTTTCGTTTGTTTGTTCTATAACTTTTAGGAGTTTTTGAAGTGTCGTGTCTGACAACAGATCACTACACAGGGGGCATGAAGCAGAAATACTCAGTGAAGCAATGCCACTGGTGGAATGTGGACCCCACACTGTATTTGCGTGAAAAAACTTACTACATTGCTGCAGTGGAAGTGGAATGGGACTATTCTCCTAACAGGACATGGGAATTTGAGCGGCATCAGTTTCATGAAGAAAGGTAAGTATGTGGAATATACATGAGATGAGAAAATAAAAATGAAGAAAGGAGCAGCCCTTTTCCTCCTAGAAATCCAGGCATTTTGAGACACATTTTCTGTACATAAGTATTTCCAGGGACCGCTTGAATCTGAGGTCCTTCCCCAGTAATGTTGCCACGTAGCTCTGAACAAGACAGGATCATGTTCCGAAAATGGTCCACACAAATCTGAGCCACCTGCAGAACTTAATGGATCCTGGATGTTGCCTGTGTGTTTATGTTTTACCAGTGTTGACACAGACATTGATGTGGAATGCTTAAAGCCTTCATTACGCTGCAGATACGCTGAGTACTTCGTCCTTTGGTGGTTTTCTTACTGTGTGTAACATGTCCTTGTCTGTTGTCTATCTGAACTCTGAGCAGTGATCTTGAGCATTCACGCAGCAGTTTTCTCTTTTTTTTCAYTCCATTTCGTTATTTGAAGCAAGAAAAGATGTTTCTCTGTGATGAAACYCAGACATGTTTAAATAAAGCCTTAGCTTTGATGTATTCCGTGTATTCCCAGTACCTGGACCCCAATTAGTGGGAACTGAGTGCATCAAACACTTCAAGTCTGTTAGGAGAGCCTAAATAATGAATTGATTAATTTGTGTGTACTGTAGCTGCCCTATGTAGCTTCATTTGCCATTAGATTGTAACAGCCTGGATTTGTTTATTGGCTTAGATGTGTCATCATATTTATATATATTTTTTCTCATCATGATTGCACCTTTGCCCTGTGTAGCTGCCTTTTTCATACTACTGAGCACAAGTAGTAGAGACTGTGATGGTATCAGATTATTTTTAACTGTCTCCAGTCCCATGATCTCTGCAGAGACTTAGCCCCACGATACAGAAAGGGACCTAAGCAGGGCTTAGCAATTGTAAGATTGCACTTGTTGAAGGTACCAGCAGCCTGTGTAACCATGGGTCCACTGAGCTAAATTTTTGATTGATGGTTAAATGATACACCTGCAAAAGATGCTGTCAGACCCATGAAGAAATTTTTGACATATTCTCATGCCTCTCTTCTATTTTCACAGCCCTGGCAATCCATTTTTAAATAAAGATGACAAATTCATTGGTTCGAAATACAGAAAGGTTGTATATCGTGAGTTCACGGACCAGACATTCAGTACTCCCAAAGAGCGAGCAGAGGAGCAGCATCACCTAGGAATTCAAGGTACAGTCATCATGAAGCTCAGTTTCAGAACTAGGAAAAATACAATGAAACCAAACAGACGCTACTGAGCGTAATTCTACCCATACTATGTGCCTAAACCTATGTGGAATTGCTATTTACTCATCACTGTGTATTACATATTATAGTGCAAGCTTTACAAAAAAAAAAACACTTTGTTTTTGTCATAAGTCAGTGTTTTCAAAGTTGTCATAAAATTATGTAGCCACGTCTCAACTGATATACTGCAGATTTCCTGAACTTTGGAAAATCAGCCCTCTCTCAAGATGCCTAATTTCAGACACTAAAGTTTGCATATCATAGTGAATATATATTTTCCATGTCTAGCTTTCAGTTAAAATAATTAAACTACATCTCTGAACATTATTATTAAATAATTGAACTTGTATTTCTGAACATAATAAACCCGTTCGGCTCTGATCATTTGTAAAACCAGTTTAATTTTTCTTTTCAATCCACTAGGACCACTGCTTATGTCAAATGCTGGAGATAAAATTATAATTGTTTTTAAGAACTTGGCATCACGACCTTATTCTATACATGCTCATGGAGTGAAAACTGATAGTGATGTTGTTTCAGTAACTAACCCAGGTATCAAAAAATCCACTTGTTTAATTCTCATGGGTAACTTCATGCCTTGTAAGATCTAGCAAACTTTCAAGTTAGGATAGCATGAGATATACTTTTTTTAACATCAACTTCCTAAATTTTATGAAGCTGCTTAATATTTGTTTTCCTACATTTAAAATATTCCTGCTAATTATTGCTATATCTTAGCCCTAGGCAGATCAGTAGCTTTTCTTTGGTAGAGCTTGGCTTTGGTTATATAAGGAGAGTATGTTTTCTTTTAAAAGTTATTCTGTGATCTTTACAAAAGATATAATTAGTTTATTAAACTTGGTAAACTGGCCAGTGCAGTCACTGACAGGAACACTGGCAGGAGGAGTTAGGAATCTGTAGAAGGGCAATAACAATAAGAAATGAGCCAGTGCAGTAGTTGTGAAGAGGAAGTTCGACAGAAATAAGCCATAAATGAAAACAGCATCTATTTCAGCACAACCTCCCCCCCCCGCCCCCGCCGGAAAACGCACATGACTTGTTTGATACAGGTGAAACAAAAATATATATCTGGAAAATCCCTGAGAGATCGAGTTCTGGAAGAGGTGATCCACACTGCATTGCCTGGGCATACCATTCAGCTGTGGACATCATCAAGGTATGATGCAAACAGAAGTTCACAGATATAATGAAAGGAAGATGAGCTTGAAATGCTGTGCGCTTTCTCTGTCAAGTCTTTGTCCGCCCCCCCCATACCATATATTTGAATTGTCTCATGAACAATGCAGGAAAATCAGGACAGAATTAGCRAATCCCATTCTGCTGTGTTCTTACTCCTTAATTCGTTTGTTGTTTGTATACATCACCTTCGGATTCATTTTTAAAGCAAATATTTCATAGCTTTTTCTATATCTAATTAATCATGTATGTGCAACCATGGAACACAAATATGCCATTTTTCTACAAGTGCTCATTATCCTTACTTAACTGATCTTTTTTTTTAATTCAAATTAATGCTCATACTTCATAAATTGTAAAGACAAATGGAAAATTACTTAAGAGCGCTTTCATTTTGAAAGTGTAAAAGAAGTTTTGAATAGAAGACAACTCACCATTCTGAAACCTAAAACAGAATTGAAAACAAAAAAGAACAAGAAATAAAATGGATAAAAAAGTTTATGGACTATATAGCAAAGAACATGCACACACACAAAAAAAGTTACAGTTTATCTGTGGGTAGCAAATAAGAGAGACGAAATTATTTTCAGATACTGAAATTTGTTAAAATAATAAACATTTATGTCTGTTATTTAAAAATGCTTCTGCTTTTACTAGTCACATCTTGTAATTATTTGATTTTTTTTCATTTGTACTTTCAGGACACTTACAGTGGATTAATAGGCACACTTGTTGTGTGTCATAGACATTATCTGCCATCATTTCATGCCAAAAACAAAGTTCAATTTGCTCTTCTTTTTATGGTTTTTGATGAGAATGAGTCATGGTATTTGGAGGAAAATATTAAAACCTACTCTGCTAACCCACACCTTGTTGACAAAGAGGATGAGGAATTCCTCGAAAGTAATAAAATGCATGGTATGGTTCTAATTTAATAATTAAAAAAAAAAAACTCTATAAAGTTATATATTTCAAAGCACTATATATAAATTTGACTTTCTCATCTGTTGCAAATTTCTAGTTAAAGGGTGGAATGCCTGAGAAAAAATCACTTGCCTTATCTCAGAACATTGTAAATCTCCCTTTWAAAAAAAGGAAAAAGACAATACAAGGTCTGTCCTGAAAGTGCCTCCTGGTACAGCTTAGCCTTTACAAGGGGCCATGGGTAATACAGATGCTTGAAAGCAAGGCTGATGTYAGCAAGGATTCATAATAAGGGACATTTAACTATTTACTTTTAATTAAATATTCGAGATATTATCAGTTCCATTACTATTATGCTGCCTTTTTCTGTAGTAAGGAGATAATATATTACGTCAATGCAGTTATTTTAATAGATCGTTCAAAACAATTAATTTTGCCTAGTAGTAGTTTTAAATTCTTGCATTCTATTAAAGCCTTGAGAATAATATGACACAAAAAATCTTATTTATTTTCCTCTCTCTAGCCATTAATGGAAAAGTGTTTGGAAATTTGCAAGGTCTTACTATGCATGTTGGGGATAAAGTAAGCTGGTATTTGATGGGAATGGGCAACGAAGTAGATATTCACACAGCACACTTCCATGGCCACAGTTTTGATTACAAGGTAACAGGTCCTTTCTATGATTCTTTTTTGCCATGTTAAGAATGAGAGCTGGACCAAATACAGCGGCGAGTAACCCCATGTGAGATGTTAAGATGTTAAATATTAAGTAGCAGTTATGTAATACAACTTTATGGCATTTCAAATTTGATCAATACACATGGGAATCAGAGATTATCTGCCCGGGTTTATACTACAGAAACTTCATAATTTGCTCTAACAAGTTTGCTGTGAATTTTCATGTCTTCAGTAAGAGAACAAACAATTTTCCTTGTTTTTCCCTTCATCTGCTAGTTTTAGCACGTGCATTATGAAATCAGAGTCCTGTAGTAATGACATGCAATAGCCTGAATCTTTTCTTCAAACTGATGCCTAAATTTGATGGGTATATATACATTTAAGCTAGCATATGTTACTGCCACCTAGTGATGCCTCACTGTTCAACCCTTGTTTCTTTTCATCTGGCAGCAAACCGGAGTTTACCGGGCAGATGTGTTTGACCTGTTCCCTGGGACATTTCAGACGGTGGAGATGGTACCACAGAACCCGGGTACCTGGCTGTTACACTGCCACGTTACAGATCACATCCACGCAGGCATGGAAGTGACCTACACAGTGCTCCCGAAGGAAGGTAGGAGCTTAGCTCTCAGTAATGTTCGTTCTATTTAAAGAGGCAGCAAGGGCTTCACAGACGTGTCAGTAATGTTCGCAGAACCAGTTCAGGCAGTCAGCAGTACCTCATGGCATAAGACTGATGTATGTTGTAATATGTAGGCCAGAATCACAAATCAGCTAATATTTGCCTTAATGATACTCCTCAGAAAACAAAAGTAGCTGAACGACTACATCTTAAATGACAATTACTACAACATCCCACCACTGAAACTTACAATGGCACTTCTTCAATTTAAAAAAACTTAATGAGTTAAAATATTTCTGTACACTAAGTGTCCATAGTGTTAAACTCCATCTCAATCTTTAATTAAAAACAAAACCAAGAATGGGTAACTAAAGCTCAAGTCATCTTGCTCACTAGTTATGGTATGGAAGGATATTTTAGCCTTACAGGCACTTTGCTTTAACCAAACAAACAAAAACAAACCTGCAGTTCTGTCTTTGTATTCTTTGATTGTGTAAAAAGAATGTATATATAAAATAGAAAAAAAGGGCTATTAAACACAATGTACTTCTATACTGTTTTATAAACCATTGAGAGTTGCAGACTCTCCTGTGTTAAACTTGTGCAGATGATAGAAGAGCTGACAGAGTGAACTGAAAGAGATAAACAAATAGACTTTTACTATTAAGTAGACTCTACTACACTTTTTCCAGAGAAGCACTGCTTGGATTGTTCATACTGAGCTATCTACACACATTCCAGTACTATTCAGTGCATTTTTGAGGCAAAAGAAAAAAAAAAAAAGCCTTAACAAACAAAACCTCCTAACTCACAACATGTGAAAGGTATTGGGATCTGTCGTGTTTTATTTTGAACTGTTCGCCATATCCATGGAAAGATTAAATAGTTGTAATAAAAGTTAATTTTTTTCTCTTTACAGACAAATCATCTGTTTTCCAAGATCATTTAGTATCAATTAAAGTCTAATTAATGGTATAACAGGCACAACAGTATGAAAAAGACATGTTACCACAGCAGTTATCTGAGGTCTGTCTCGAGTGAGGCATTTCTTAGGAAACACAATCACCTGGGCATCCATATTAGCRTGGGTTTTTGAAGATTTCATTCAGTGGGCCTCCTCTAACCAAAGGATCACAGACTGAGACAACTGGATGGATACAACAGTTGTAAGGATATAAACCTACATAGTAGCAGTTTCGTGAAATRAAAAAAAAATATATCTTGCCTGCTATATAGACATTCTGAGTGACTCCTGATGTATGTTATTTAACTGCTGAGGAATTGTCATATATGCAAAGAATATGTACGAGACATGTAAAGTGTAAGTTCCTCTTTTATTTTTAAATTTGTAAATAAACCTGTGTGGCAGCAAAATTTGTTTGAAGTGGTTGTCCTAGATCTGATGTCACATTTTTACTAGTCAGCTATTAGTTGTTACAAGATGTGAAACAGGATGAGGGCTATCATTTGTGCCAGAGGTTCAATATTAATACATATATAAGATTCTAACAAAATAATCCTATATTTCCATTGAATTATTATATATATATGAATTATTATATATAGAATTTATCAAGCAATATACTTTAACATAGTGAAGCTAAGAGATGAGGTGGCAGACTGACTGTGGTTGCAGCAGCTGTTTGTCTTTCCATTACAAAAAACAAGAGGGGGCAGAGTTATGCTGAATTCAGGCTGATGACATTCAGGGAGCCTAAGGGTAAAATTCCGCAGCCGTCGCCTAGGACCTTTACCTGGACGCAGCTTAAGCCACGGCAGCAGTGCTGGTAGCAGCGTGGTGCTCTGCTGCACCCATCAAGCAGTAACTCTAAACAGATACATGCTAGCGCAGGACCAATTCTGGTCAAAAGCAAGTAGCATGTAGCTGCGTTTTATTAGCCCAGCTCTCCCCTCTGCTCCACTGATCCCTCGCCTGGGTAAACAACAGGGAGGTGTATGAGAGGGGCAAGAAYAGAAAACACGTCCATTCCAACCAACACCAGCACAAAGCAAATTGCTTCTCTGTATCAAAACAGGGCCTAAAGAAGCTCTTGAAGCCAGTCCAGCTCTGCTACTGAATTAGGTCATTGGTTTGGCTGTAACAGACACACCACACAGGAGAGTTCAACAGCTTTACTTTTTTTGATGTTTCATTCAGAGTACAGATGAGATATCCTTTGAATGCTAGCAGTTTAATTAACAAGACAGTTACTGAAACTGGATTTGATAGCACCACTGCCAGCTAATTAAGCTTTTAGATGGTTAAAGGAGCACACTACCATTGTTTTACTGAGGGTAAAGAAGGAAATAGGACAGAGGGTAAACATGGGGAGTAGGAGCAAGGGGAAACATCGAAAATAAGACTGAGGGTAGACACCGAAGAAGAATGGAGGGTAAACATTGGTAGTAGGACTGAAAGTAAACACCCAAGTACCACTGAGGGTAAACATCGGGTGTAGGAACGAGGGTAAACTTCGGGAGTAGGAATGAGATAGACACAGAAGTTTAACCGAGGATAAACAGGAAACTAGCACTGAGAGTAAACAGCAGGAGTATGAACAAGGGTAAACACAGAAGTATCACCGAGACTAAACATCAGGAATAGGACCAAGGGTAAACATCAAAGTACCACTGAGGGTAAACATCAGGAGTAGGTCTGAGGGTAAACGCTGGGAGTAGGTCTCAGGGTAGACATGGAAGCAGGACCCAGGGTACATGCTGAGAGAAGGAAGTAGTACTTCCATGTCTACCATCAGTCCTACTCCCAAAGTCTACCATCAGTCCTACTCGCAAAGTCTACCCTCAGTGGTACTTCTATGACTACCCTCAATGGTACTGCAACTGYCTACCCTCAGGCCTACTCCCAGTGTCTACCCTCTGTCCTATTGCCCATGTCTACCCTTAGTGGTACATCCATATTTACCCTTACTCAGGGTATCAGGGAATTTCTATGTTGCAAAATGAAGAAAAGGGCCTAGTTTCAGATGCAAGTCAAGCATATTTACTCACCAATTAGAGACATTCCCCCTTGATGATGATCCAGCTAACTAGCAGGGAATTAAGAGTGACACATGCTTTACTTCTAGCATACATTAAATGCTTTACTTCTAGCATACATTAAATGTGTCATGGTATTGTACAGTCAGTAGTTTTTAAGCACTTTGGCCATAAGTTTAGCTTCATTTAGGAGATAAGTGACCTACATCTGATAGCTGAACAGTTGTGCTTTTCACCTGACCAACCACCATAAAGTTTTACCTGACAGGAATTCCTTGGGATAGCCAAGTTCTATCAGTGTACAATAGTATTTTTTTTTCTATCAAAAGAGATGCTTAGCTTTAGCATGAGACGGTAGTTGTCATTCCATTAATAAGATTTCAACATGGCCATAGAGTGGCTAATGTGTAGAGTGAGTCCCACAAAGCTTTCTGTGTAGTTCTGCTGTTCCATTTCCTTTTTTATTCCAGTGCATTCTTGGTATTTGAGTGCATAGTAGATTTTTCACCAGCTTTAGGTCAATGGTTTCCTTTGGCTGCAGTGAATAAGATGTGGCAGGAAAAACGCTGCAGTTCCATCCTCTGGTATAACATTGAGGAAATCCCTTAGTTCCAGTTCCATAGTAACAACTGATAAAGCTTCTGTCCAGGGCAGGGAGTTTAAGATATTTTTGTTAAAACAAAGGAACAAAAACGCCATTAACAATGTGATTACTAACTGAAGTCATCAAATTATTGAAATATTATAACTGGAATCAAATTTGAGACCATTTGGGACCACACACAACTATGAAATAATCTCAAGTGTAACRGCATTTAAACAGAACTGCATATTAGAATGAAACCCTACCTCTATTCATCGGGTCTCCGTGTGGCACTAACGCTTACAGAATTCTGACCTGTTACTTCGTTTTGCACAAATTACAAAGGAAGCATTAGAATATACCACAGCATCCTAATTCAGAATAATTTGTAGTATGTGATGTTCTGTGAACAGCTTCTGAGATGCAGCTGGGTACAAGTTGAAACCCAGACAGTTCCATCTCCACATGAGGAAGAACTTCTTTCCTCTAAAGGTGACAAAGCCCTCAAACAGGTTGCCCAAAGAGGCTGTGGAGTCTCCTGCTCCGGAGATCTTCCAAACCCGCCTGGATGTCACAGAGGCCCTGTGCTCTGGGTGTCCCTGCGGGAGCAGGAGGGTTGGAYGGGATGATCATTACATGTGCCTTCCAACCTCAGTCATTCTGTGATTCTGTGATATCATGTTCTGATGTTTTTATTAATGCAAAGTTAATAAACATGCAAATATTGGTTCAAAGAAAAATCTGTCACTACAAGCTRGAAATTTCTGGTACAGCATGGTAACATGTTCCACGCCATGCAACCCAGCCATGTTGTTGTTCTGCCCTCAGAATGTATGACAGGGATAGTTTTGTTTTCATACAGTCTTCTTATTCTGTCAAAGACACACAAACTGAACCCTCAGCTGTGCATTATTACTGTCTTCCTACAAACATGTAACACTGGGACTATTTCAACTCAGGGTTAGTTTCTCTACAGCTTTGTTTCCACTGATCAAACAGCTGGGAGAACCCCCCTCCCCAACGCCAAAGATGAATGATACCAATTTCTTCTGGTTAATACTTCCAACTATCAATAACACAATGCAGTTTTTCAATCTATGGCTGAATCATAAAAAGACACTTAACACTCTATAGGATGATGAATAACAGCCTGCTGCCCATTGCTTAGAACCCTAGTCACTTAGCCTGGAACAAAAGCACTTACTGTTCCTGCTATTTGATAGCTTTTTGTGGTCTTCTTACTTATATAGAGGTAATACGAGGTAATGCTACCATTGTGAAATGTTCTGCACAATGCAGAATGCTGCCCAACTACCTAGATAGCTGCTGAGTGCTATTAGCTTTGTCCATGTAAAAGGGTCCCTTCTTTCTGCGCATTGCACTGATAGTCACTAGGCTGAACAATGCTCAGAGCACCGTGTGCCAAACAGCAGCTTCTTGAACCCAGCTGTCATCATAACATTTACCTTTAAGTGAGGAAATATGAACAGGACAGTAATTTCCAGTAAGTCTGGTTCTCTTGTAAAGTTCAGGAAGCAGCTTGTTCCACCACAGAGCCTAATTCAAAACATCAACAACAACAAACTAAAAGTGTGAACTAACAATGTCCAAAAGCCCAAAATACTCCCTAAAAAATACACCGAACTAAGACCAGATGCAAATGTAGGTAGGTTAAGATCAACTCAGGAATTAGTTTATATAATGATTTGAAATGCATATATAATGAATTTGAATTCTTGCATAAGTATTATTTTCAAATTTCACTGTCATCTTTTATACTTAAAACTTTAACCTCCCCCAAGTGCCTCTACAGAGAAGAATGCTTATAGTTTAGAACGTAAGTGTACATAATACATAGTAACACACTGAGATGCAGTAAGAAAATTAAGATTTTTCCTTCCAAACAACTCCATGCAAAATGGTAAGTGGTACATAATAAGAGAACTCTGCTCTGTCCTGATCTGTCAGTTGTTACAGTGACTTAAGTATTTTCTGTGTACTTTCTGTAAGAACAGAGAGGGGGAAAGGATTACTTCCCTTTTTCTTACAGACGGTAAGGCTTTTCTTCCACTTTTCTTCATGTTCAGTACTGTAACCTCACACTAAACTCTACTACTAACATGGAAACAACAAAGAAACTACCTTCAAATCTGAAAATATGCAGCAATTTGGTTTTGGAATGGAATACTGTTATCTCCAGGTGGTAGGGAATCAGCTTTCCTGATTCTAGCATGCAAAATCGCACAATTTATCAAGCAGCTGTGGGACAGCTCTTTCTGTTGAGAAAGTGGGACATAAATAATATAATTTCCTTAATGAATCAGTACCATCCCTAGGCCATAAGGTCAGATGTCACTGGACTGCCTAAAGAACATGTTTAAAAGTGGTTTTATTTGAAGGACCATCATTTCTCAGCTTATCACTGAAATCTGATATATTACACAATGCTGTCGAATATTACTTAGAATATTGACTGGTATTCTTTTCTGAGGCACTCTGCAATATAAATGACTATTTACTACAGTTAATATAAGCAGTCACACTTTTGTTAAGGAATTGTGAAAAATATATATAATTAAAATTAGTAGGGATTCAGCTATGAAATTTTAGTACAAAGTGAGAGGTTTGTAACAAGCTAAGCATTTAAGCCCTGAAAGCAGGGCTATCTGACCTCCTCAGATGTGCAGATGTAACAGGGAACAATGTTCCAAAGAAAAAAAAAAATTGCGCAAGTTTAACAGCAGCTCACCAGACTGTCATCTTTCAGTTCATGTTGAGCATACAGAACAACTGCATCAGGACATTTGTTCAAAAGCAGGTCGAGGGAATCCTCATACTTTCCTAGACGTGTACTGCAGAGAACACGGATGGTGAGGCCAACATTGCCATCCTCTGACAGAGGCTCCAAGAAAGGCAGAGCTGAAGCTACATTGATTGATTGACTACATAAAATAGACTGAAAACAAGAAGAAAAGCTATTTTTGGATTTAAGTCAAATTTTGCAAGGAAAATTAACCATACTTTTAAAACAAAAGCTTTCACTTATTGTAACAGTTTTAAAATAATATTACCTTTAAAGACAGTTACTGCTAACTGGGAAAGTAAGTGTGGAATAGACTGTAAATGAATATAGCATTGTAACTGACATATCCTTGAGGAACTTCTTGCTTCTGCAATTTCAATGTATCTTTTAGCTCCACTTGGATAACAGAATTCTTACCCTAGAAACAGCTTTATTATTACACCTTGTTCTGATAAACATGGCAGTATAGTTTGAGTGTTCTATAGACACCAAAGAAGACCTCAACCCGGCAGTTTTTATTGAGAAAGGCTGAAGTGCTAACAGTGTAAGTTTTGTGAGTTTTTCCCTCCAGTATACATAGATATTCAAACATAAATGATCACTTGCAGAACAGGTGCAAACTGCAAAACTCTCATACCTGTAGTTTTGAAATATCTTCAGGATAATCTTGATCAGATGGGGATCCCACTGCCATTATGGAAATTACCCAGGGGAAAATCAACCCGAAATGATTACAGGAATTTATCTATACAAGAAAAAAGTTTTAGTATCAGAAATCTTTCTGCTGTTACTGATCAATGTGAAACCCAATCAATGTGAAGAAAATTCAATTCTCAAATAGCATACTTTAGAAGAGCAGCTGCTTTTTTCTTTTGGTTCATATAGACTGGGTGAAGAATAAACTTAACATTGACTTATTTCTGTATTCCAGATTTCCAATTCAGAAAACTTTACAGTCATCCACTCACAGATTTTCCTCAGTGAGTCAGCTTTGTAAAATTTCAAAGACTCCACTGGACAAACTGTCCATTTAAGCCCTTACTCCTGTCCAGAATTGAAATTCCTGTTGGAAATTTACTTGTAAATGTACCCAAATTGTAAGAGTGACCTGAATCAGGAATATCTATTCGTTTAAATCCACACAATGTTCTATGTTTTCAGTCTTGCAGCTTTCAAACAACTGTTCAGAATTACATTACTCAAGATAGTATTTGAATGAGCTTTGGCTAGATGATGAAATCATAAAACTTTCTCTGAGCACACAGATGTACTTACAAGATCCTCTGTTGTTTTCAGTGGTTTGGTCTCAGGAAATTCCCTCTTTGATATTCTGCAAACATACTGACAAATTAACCTTAGTAAGAGTTTCTGAAGCGCTTCTTCCTGAGTGCATACTACAAGAAGAGCTTCCCAAAAATCCACTAAGAGCTGAGGGACAGTGTTTTCACTGCTACCGCACAATGTCTAAGAACAAAAACAAACAAACAAAAAACAAAAACAGCAACTTAGCACAGAATATGGCACTTATTAGTAACTGTAGTTAGAAGAAACAACAACAGTTTTTCACATTTTTAGCAGATGCAATGGTTGCTTTGTGTCCTGATGTACTTTTAATGGGTATGATTTTACACAGTACAGCAACAGACAAAGTAAAAAGGTTCTAGAATGATTTTAGGGAAATCAAGTCTAAATTACATTATTTGATTTCTTCTCACAGACTTACTCCACTATCAGAAATAATCTATTCAGCAAGCATTTACAGACTTGCTAAATTGAAGATTTAAATGTATCAATAGCTAAGCAGACACCTTCTAAAGAAACACCTTAATGGAAGGAAATAAATAAATATTGTGTAGCTCAGCAGGAGATATTGGTAAGAGCCACAGTGAAGATGCTTCAGGCCTTAACGTCTGATGTGTCAGGGATATGGATCTCTAAGAGTTAACTGGCTTCCAACTGGCTTAAAAAAAAAAACATTAGAATGAATCTGAGTTTCATGAATTTATATTTCCAATAAAAGTCTTTCAAAATAACAGATCTAGGGCCATGATATACTGAAGCACACACTGAAGTAATGTACCAAAGTATACATAATTTTGATTCAAAAGAACATTATTCACTGTAGAGAGCAAGAAAAGAGAGAGCAAGAAAAGAGAGAGCAAGAAAAGAGGTTGTCTGTTCCCACTCTGGATAAAAAAAACTTTGTTGACCAGAGAAAAATACTTTTCCATAGTCTGCAGAGTAAGAACTTCGTTTCAGAACTGACTTTTTCAGAAACAGGAGAGCAAAGCATTATAGATCTTCATAAATACTTAAGTCTGACTCTTTAGAAAAATGTGTTTTCGTCCTAATGATTTCTTCAAAAGGAGTCTATGGAAATGACTTATCAAAGTTCTGCTAAGCTGAAGGGGCGTTAGGAGTGAACTGAAAAAATATCTGAGACCAGGGTATTCCTTGTTAACATAACAGAGTCAAAACAAAGAGTTTAACTTTTTTTTTTTTTTTTTTTTTGTCTTGATTTAACCAGTATTTATCTTCAGAAGGTCTAGCTCCAACCCTTTACAATCATCTAGAAAAACTGGCTACCGCCCATCCCTCTCTTTCACAAGAAACCTTGGAATGTGTGGGAACAACAATATTGATGAGCAAAGCAGTCTGAGGTAACATAACTATGAAAAAAATAGAAGTAAAAAATAATCACAGTCTAACCTTGAAAAAGGTATCTGCTTCTTCCAGTTCCATTTTACTGTTCTCATATAAAGCCACAATGGCAGCCACCAGTAACCCAGGCTGTGTCTTCTTCAGATGAACAGCAAATTCAGTCGGAATAACAATTCCTTCCTTGTGCTGTCTCAAGAGCTTTGGCTGCCCAATGAAGCCAAAGGCCAGTACCGTCTATGGACATAGATATAAGTCATGTGAAGAATTCAATTCACATATCAAGCAACCCACCAAACTCAGTATTTATTCTGGTAATCAAGCTTACTGATTAAACAAAGGGAAGCTGAGAGAATTAAATAAATTCTACAGTTTATCGAAAAAGTTTTCCAGAGACCAACCTCTAACCTATGTGCTGAACACTGGCTGCTAAATGTTATGTCACTGTCCTGAATACTGGAAGTACTGGACTGTTCAGAGTTAGATGGAATTCATGGCTTTGTAAATTCTGCACACTTAGTAAGACTCTGCCAGGATAAGACTACTCTTGCTGCAAAGTGAACTGTACAGTCCCAGCATATGCCAGCCCTCAAGCCCAAGTCTGTGCTTGCAGACATTCAGCAGAGCCTAGACAGCATACCAGGAGGAAAATGAAGAGAGACTGAAAGGCTCTCATATGGTGAAACACAACCACAAGCCAAGAAGTATTCACACTGTTTACAAGGGGTGAATAGCTCATGGTTTAAGCATCATACTTCCTTATAGGAGCCCATCTCACGCTTATACATCATCAGATCTCCCATTTTCAGAGCCATGAAAGCCTTGGTAAGTGTTAGGACCACTGATGGCACGATCTTTTCTGTCTTCTGAAGATAACTCATGGCTGTTGAAGGGCAGACATTTCTCATGCAGGGAGTGCAGATGATATGTGGCAGCTGGACAGGTTCAGTAAGATAGAATATTTGAATAATTTTAGTTGTCAATTCCTGTTTAAAAAAAAAAAAAGGCCATTTAACGGTTTCATCCTCTCCAGATACAGTCTTTCACAGCATATAAAAACAGCACTTACAGACAGCTTTGCTATCAAACCAGAGCTATCAAATCCTGCCTCCTACCTTCCTGGTAAAAGTAAAGGAACCTTGAGAACAGATCAGTCCATACTATGGTGGATGAGCACATCCACCACAGTGAATCCGTTTTACCAATCTGTACAGTTTATCAGTTTTCAAAATAAGAGTTTGCTCTGTTACATGAAGAGGATTTAAAGAAATGGGGGATGATAGAAAGTTGATAAACTTTCCTAGTTTGGCATTATCTCCAGGTATAATTGGAAGCCAGATCATTAGGAATATGTATCTCAAGTGCTTGATAGTGGTCAGAAGTACCACAATTTTCTCTTTACAGTTACTGAAATTGCTTACTCTTTTGTAAATATAAGAAGGAAGAGAAAAAAAAAMCTGTAAAACTAAATATACAGCCTATCTGTTTCAAAGGAAACTCGATACATAAAATTAGAAAATAAAATTAGTTCTCAAAACTAGAACTAAAGCAGTAGATGAAGAAAAAAAAAAGCTTCATTTTTCTACCTGACTTAATTCTTCATTTAAATCTTCATTAAGAGAGTGAGTTAAGTAAAATATAAATCCTCTTTCATATTTCTGTTTTTCATCACCTTGTGAAACTACTCTCTCTAAAACTTCCATCATGGATAAACCAGACATTCTGTAGTAAGGCAAAGCAAGGTGGTAATCCTTTGTGTCAAACCTGAAAGCAACAAATAGGAAGAGGCAACATGAAGTTAAGGGCAACAGCTTTGCCACTGCTCTTTTTAAGAATTAAAATAATGCACACACAGGCAATATTTAGACATGCTGAACAGAAAACCAGTAAGCTGTTTTGGTAGAATTTAAGTGCTAACATAAAATAAATAATAATATATTTTAAATTTTAGGGTTGCATGAATGGAAACAAAAGTACAGACAAAAGCGTCACTTTGACATCCAAAACATATACCTGCTGTAGCAGTCTCCTAGAAAAGCACAGCTTTCTCTAAATGCTGTTAGAAGTTCTTCTTTATCATCTGCTTTAAAGAAACCGGGGTCCATTATAGCTGCTCTGACTAATAAGTGAGCTTCACTTAAAAGATGGATGCAACTCTCAGTTTTTACATTTTCATATGTTCTACTATAATCCACCTAGAACAGATGTTGCATATATTTAGGTTTTTGTCAGAAATAAACAATATACAGGAACAAATGTAGAGGACAACAGCTATGTGAAATAGCATACAGACTACTCATGAAAAATACATTACAGTATATGTAGCAATAAAATCCAGAGATTATATTACAATACTTTAGTCACCAAACAACAAATGCAGGAGCTGGACAATACCATTTCTCTATAAAGCTGGACAGTCGAAACAGTGTTTACAATATATAAATTCCAGCCAGATTCTGAATCAGGATTTTTTCTGGATTTGATGCCGCCAGTCTTTCTGGAACTAGAGAGGAAGAAAAAAAATGAGTTTTCAGTGTCAAAATAAACATTATGTAGACAAAAACAAGCCATGATTTGACAGTCTAAATGCATAAATAAATATGTTTGAGCATTTTAAAATTCAGTTGTGAATTTAACACAATGGACAATGCATGCTCATAAATCAGAGACAGCATGGTTAGGAACCATCAAGTACATCTCTGCCTGTATTTTAACATCAGGTAGTATTATATACTTCCACAGAGATGAGTAATTCAAACTAGCTAAGATATATACTTATTTTCTGTAAGGACTGACTGTACTTTTACTCCTGCAGCTCCATTAAAGTGTTTACCATGACATGGGGTAAGAAAGTACATGAATGCTTTTAGTATAATACATTGGTTTAGTCTAATATATATTTAATGCCCTAAAGTTAAAATGCTGCTGGAAATTACAGACTCCTCCTCTTCATATTTTACTAATATTTAATCTTTTTTAAAAAGAATGACGGTCTCAAGTAGACTAGCACTTGTTCAACTGATTTTTACAGGAGGTACAAAACATTTCTTCCTAAAATGCTAACTATGAACTTTGAAAAAATTCAAATAGTAGAAGAAAGCATGTCTTCATTTTCTGCTAATACATATTTTGCTAGCTTGTAATTTTAGTAGTCATATATTTTTCAAGAGAATTATTTTGAGTCACAGTACTGTTCTGCAAACTATTTCCAGAACCACCTTTTCACAGAGGATCCTCCTTCCAACTCCAACACCCAGAAATTCAACACTGATATCTCCCCCAAAGACACAAATCCTTACAGCATCCTCCTTGTAGGTTTTCTTCTTTCAGTAATATCTTCTGTGTCGGCCTTAATCAGAAGTATTACATGGTTTTTGAAATGACAGATAGCTCTTGGTCCTATAAAAAGCTGCATTCTTAATGTGCAGACATCTAGTGACACAGGTGGACAAGCCTATAAAGAACAGCAACTGTTTTGTGATTTCAGCTAGTATATACCACGATTCTCTAAATGAAAAGATATATGAGAAAAAATGTAGTTTTATGTCTAATTACACGACAGAAAAATATTCACAGCCTTTCCCAACTTTGAGTGCTTAACTTAAGCAAGAATTGGCAACTGCAGCTGCAGTTCTAGCTATATCTCAAAATAACTAAGCCTGAGTTTGGTGCCTAACATGGACCACTTAAATCCAAATGAATTTGACAAAATTGTAAAAGACTGCCTAACATTGTTTTAAAAATCCCATTTCAGTTGCTTATATTACTTAACTCTAGCGGTAACAATAAGCAAGGGAATATATTTCTGTTTTCTGAATTTCAACCTTAACTTGTTCAATATGTGCTTCTCAGCCAAGACTTACCATATCCTCTACAAGGAGCTGAGCTACAAATGTAAAAATGCAACCTTATTTATCCAACACACTCTGAATTTATAAGAAGGTAAAACACTGTATTTACAAATTAACGCTTTTCAAGAAACCTTAGATTTTTTTTGCAGACTTGGTTACTCACACCACTGCACTGGATAAAAGTTACTGAGTTTAAGAGGCAGGGGACCACATTGGTGCCTGGCTTGGAAGGAGGCCAGAAACTGTCACGAGCCAGACAGAAATAGACAAAGACAGCTCTGAAACCCATGTGAAAATCAGCTAGACTAATGCTTTCACGTGTCATACTCTAGACTAGAGTACACCCATCAATCACCTGCATTGCCCCTTGCCTCACTGGAGGAAATGATGGACTAAATGTAATCCACAGAGAAAACATGAAAAGTTGAGATTGAGAGGGGTCAATAAAGGGTTTTTATGTCTTTCTATTCTTTATCGCAATACCTGAATCAGTGATTGGAGCTTTCTGTTAGCAGGAAAAAAAAAACATTGAACAAAAATTTCCCTGCAATAACACCTTCACTACATTCCTGCCTCTCTCATATCACAGTCTCTATGGAAAGCAAAGAAAAAAGTTTAAAGTTTAAAAAAAGTAAAAGTTTATCATTTGATAACTTTACAACACCTCTCCCGTGCTATGACTTTACGTCTCCTGTCTACATGTTCAAAGAAAAATCTTACATGCTAGCTTAAAATCCATTTCAGTACGTTTTTATTAACATTTATCTTGTTCTTTATAATTCAGAAGATTATTGATGTAAGTGATGCGGAAGCGGAAAAGTCTAGACTTGGAAAAGATAAAAAGCCTTCTGTAAAAAACACCCTAAGTACCTGCTAAATAGACCTGCTCAAAGGTCTCTGCTGTCTTACGAAGACTCACATTTAAAGTACATCTGAGTGGGAAAAAAAAAAAAACCCCAACCCATGGGCTTCAAGACATATAGGCTTTACAGACACTATCAGCTGCAATCAAGGAAAACTGCGCACTCTTCTTTCCAATCTATAAACAAAGTATGGAATTTGGTTTAAAATATATGTTCTTTATGGCTTTTAATGGATTTGGAAACATTCTACTAATATTCTAGATCTCAAAAGCCAATAGTAGATTATGTTTTACTGGTATATTTGTAGACCATTAAAATGTAGTTTGTCATGAATTAAAGTCAAATAGTAGTTATAGATATTACTTTAATGTTTGAACCAAAAAAAAAAAAAAAAAGGAAAGCATAGGTAAAGCATACGGAAACTAAGCGCCACACTACTGCTTGCATTTTTAACTTTTCACTGGGTACAAGACAACGAAGTGCACCTTCACAGTCGTATCAATGTACGGATCCTCATCACGAGCTGCTGCTGCACTGCATCGCACTGTGAAACACTGTAAGTTCTCACTAAATGGAAAAAAAAGAAACTACATTGATTACAACAACGAAGAAAGAAAAAGTTTGACTGGAAGCAACTGACTAGTATAAAGAATCAGGTAATTTTCCCTAAATGGGCCTTGGAGCACAGGCTGGAAGGCATGCTGTGCTGCCACAAAGACCTATGCAGAAGTTCCAGGAGAAGCTATGAAAGATATATTTTAGAGACAATAAAGAAAAGCAGATAGGAAGGTAGCAATACCATTAGCAAATTCATAAACATAGTACCTTGTAATGACATGCAGGAATTGTGGAGTGAGCACTGCCTGCTCTGACTTTTCTGAATAGTAGTAAGTAGAGATCAGTTCTACTAACTTCCCAACAGAGTAGAGGTATCCAACATGAGGTAAAGAGAAAAAGCAAAAGAGACTCAATAGCTCTCTCTCGTTCTCAGTTTCTCCATGGGCTTTCACAGAACTACCTGGATGTAACAACAAAAAAGGCATTTCATATACTCGACAGATCCAAACCTTGCAACTCCTTGGTAAGCCTAACATCTGAAAGACAAACTCAGAGCAGAGCTGCATGAGTTCCAGCTTGGTTTTGTACTTAGATACAGAAGAGAAGAAGAACTAAATAAGTATCAGTGTACAGGTCTAAAAAATTTAATTTGCAAGTCATAAGTAATCTCATTTGAAGACAATTCTAACAAAAGAATGGATGTGTCACTGAGCAAAGAAACTTCACAGATGCAACAGTATGTAGGAGTCTGGCCAGACTAGTCAGAAGTAGGTGCCCATAGACCAAACGGTCACCCTGATCATGTACAAGTCCTTGCGAGTTTATTTATAAAGCTGTTTTGGGAAGTAAAAGCCATGTCCAGATTCTACAGATTTGTGGATCTCTTGCTGAAAACTAAATCACAACAGATCAGTTAGCTGGAGCTGAATGGCAAATAGATCATTGAGTTGGGTCAGCTGCAACTTGTATGAGCATTTGCCATTTAATAGAACAGATAAAACCACAAAATAAGCAAGTAGACGGTAAAGGTATTGGATTACGTTTTTTAATGTTTCTGCTTGAGCTTAAGTTAGTGTGTGTTAGTAACCAGTTAAGATGTGAATCTCTTCTGTTTTTAACAGGTAACTTGTATATTAACAATTACTAAGGTTTACCATTCTAATTTCCACTGTTAAAACTAATGAGAAGTGGTGTAGGATCTCATGATGACATGGAGAATAAATATATTTACAGAATGTTGAGTGGCTATTTTGTGAAGTAAAATTAAGGAGAACAGAACTGATAAAAACAGATCTAGATGACTTCTTTTGACATGATGGACTAACATTTTATTTTAAGGTTTCTACAGAATTCAGAGAAATGTCAGCATTTTTTTTAATAGAAGCTCAGTAAATTATTGAATAGGGAAGAAAAAAGATCTTATTAAAAAATATTCTGATATTCTGACGGKAACAGAGTCCAAAAGACCTTAGCATATATACTCCCTTTCCCGTATCCCTTGTGGCAGAGATCATAATGCAGATATGAATGCATACCTACCTGTCTGGTACATAGGAAGCAGCTGAAGAGAGTGCAACTTTGTGTCTTCACAAAAGCCAAAAGGCGACTGGTCAGGTGTAAACCGTCTAGAAGGAAAAAGCAAAAAGAACAACACGGGATGTTGATTTAAAAAAAAAAAAAAAAAAAAAAAAAAAAAA